CACACAAAATCTCATTTACAATGAAAATAAATGCTTTTATATAACTAGGAATACACTTACATTAATGTGCAAGGTCTATATATAAAAAAAACTTCACTGATGGATGTAAAAAAACATCTGGATGAGAATATTACATTATGAAAGTGTTGATTCTTCCAAAATAAATCTACAAATTAAATGCAATTACAAAAAAAACCCAAAGATAATTTTCATGCAACTTTATAAGTTATTTCTCAATTCTTTTGAAAAAACAGAACTATACAAATAGCCTAATGATTTTTAAAAGAATGAGGGCAACTTGCCCTACAGATATCAAAACATACTGAAGAGCTATATAACTAAAACAGTGTGATACTGACTTAGGAAGAGCCAAATAGAATAATGGAATGAAAGGGACTACACTTTTTAGGGAAATTGGTAAACTGCTTCTAAAATTCAAAAAGAATACCCAAGGCAAGAAGAGCCAAAACTCTTAAAAATAAACCACAAGGTGAGAGGACTTGCTCTTCCAGACATCCAGGCAGATAATAAAGCTACAGAATTACAACAGTGAGGTGTTGTTATAGGAATAGACAAGTAGATCATGGTTTAGAGTAGAGAGCCCAGAAAGAACTCATACTATCTGGATAAGTTTGGTAGCAGAGGAGGAATCTTATCCAGTGCGGAAACTGGAATGTTTAATAAAAGTTGCTGGTACAGTTGGCTATCAATATAAAAAAATAAAATTAGATCTTTCCCAGGTAGATTAAAGACTTAAGTGTGAAAGCTAAAACTCCAAGCTTTTATAAGAATATGTAGGAACACATCTTAATGATCTAGGGGTAGAAGGATTTTCTTCTGAAAACACTAGTCACAAAGGAGAAAATTGATGAAGTTGCCTGTCAGTATGAAAGTAATGAAAGGTTGAGCCACAGAGAGGGGGAAGTTACCTGCACTGCACAGAATCATCAAAGGATAAGTATCCAGATAAAGAAGGCTTATAGATCAATTAGCAAAAGGCCAACAGTTCAACAGAAAAATAGGCAGAAAATTAAACAGGCATTTCTCAAAAAACAACAAAACACCCAATATCCAATAAACATATGAAAAGGAATTCAACTTTACTAGCAATCACAGAAATGCAAATTAAAACCACAAGATAATATACCATTACACATCCATAGGCAGAAAATTTACAAAGCTTCATCTTAAATGGTAGCTAGGTTATGAGCATACATGACTGATGAGAATATAAATTGGTACTGACACTGGAAAACAGGTAGCATCATTTAATAAAGTCGAAGATTACCAAATTCCTTGACCTATAATTTCTGCTCTTAAGGACTCTGATCATTTAGTTGTCTATGAGCACAGAATACATGTGCAAGAATATTCATTTCATCTTTGTACTTAACTGACAAAAGCTGCAAATACCTTATTCCCTCTCAATAGCAGAATGGATAAATAGAAGTATAGCCATACATGAATATTATACAATAACAAGCATCAACAAATGTGACAGCAACTGAAAGTTAAGTTAAAAAATTGCATGGAGCATGCACTATATAAAATTTAAAAACAGACAAAACTAAACCATATTGTTTAGGAATGAATACAGAGGTAAAAAAAAAAACTAAAAATAAAAGCAAGGAAGTTATTACTGTCAAGGTCAGAATATAGAGGAACTTTCTGTACCTGAATGATAGTTGTATGGATGCTCACTTTACCATTATTTGTTAAACTATACGTACAAGTTTTATGTAGTTTTCTGTATACTTCACAATAAAGACAAAATCAAGTAAGAAGTAAAAATGAAACCCCAGAATGGAAAACAAGAAAAAACACAAAAGACTTTAGAAATAGACATACATGTTAATTTAATATGCACTAAAAGTGGCATTTCAAATTCATTTCAGTAAGTAGTGTCGAAACTGGAAGGAAGGGTTTGCCAGATTGCAAATAAATTTAAAACATCTCTATGGCCACAGATAACACAAACAACTTGGAGAAAATATTTACAATACCTACAAGAAATAAGTGGTTAATATCTGTAATATATTAGTAATACCTATAAATTAATGTAGGACAGGAGATATGGCAGGCAATACACAGAATAACAAATGGCCAATAAACTTGTTAAAATATAACTAACTTCATTAGTAGTTGGTAAAATGCAAAATGGAAAATATCAATATATGATATGCAGGGGAAATTTTAAATAATCACAATATGATTATTTGGACAATTATATACCAAACTTATTAAATCATAAAAAAATTACTGAATATAGAAGTTAAGGAAGCCATTAAAGGCTAAGGCTCCTTCTAGCTTTACCATTCTTACTGTATGACTTATATGCTCATTGTCTCAAGATGGCTGCTCTGCCCCAGACATTGTATCTGTTTTTCAGGTATAGAGAATGGACAAATGGCAAGAGGAAAACAATACATGCCAGCTGAATCCAACTCTGCTCATCAGTAAAATTATACCTCTCCCAAAGCCTTATTCTCTAGAATTACACTTAGGTCTTATTGGTAAAACCATGTCAGTTTACCCCTAACTCTCAGGGAATTGAGGAGGAGTGTATTTTTATAGTCACACCAGTCACATTTTGAATGCTCAGTAACCACATGTGGCTAGTGGCTACCATACTGGATGTTGCTGGCATCAAAGGTTTCCATCAGGCAGTAAGTTCTATTAGATTTTGCTTATCTAGATAAATTAAGCCAAGGGAGGAAAAAAAAAAGAGTGTAATATCACCTCTTTGAAAAACAAACTCTCGTGTAGGAAAAGAAAATTAATCATAATAAATGGGGCTCAGCTGTGAATAGCTTTTTGCTAACCACAATCATGTAAATATTGGATTCTGAATCACATAAATAGAACTTTATTGGGAGGACAGAGGGCTAAGATGGGGTTTGTGTCCAGTGAGAATGCAGGTTCACGAAAGAGAGCTAAAGCCTCAAAGGTGGGAATCTAACAGATGATGCCTATCACAAAAAAAAATCAGAAAAGAACAATATAGACATTTTGTTAAATATGGACAGGTAAAAAACTAAAGGTTCAACCAAAAGAGTTAAAATGATTGTCTCCAGAGACTGAAAGATAAAGGGACAGTGGGAAGAGGGGACACTGACTTCAGTTTCAAGCCTTTCAAAACTATTTGATTCTTAAACAATGTACGGATATGATTTGATTAAAATAATAAAATCAAATAAACTGTACCAACAAAAACTCTGCTACAATGCCATCTCCCTCATCAAATCTCTTCTGGTCCCTGGACACAACACTGCTATACTTTGATAAGCTCGGCTGTTGGCCTCTAACTGTACCCAGCTTTGCTTTATAGTCTATTATATAGGCTTAGAGCAAAACTCCTATTGAACTCATAAACTCTTGGACTGACTACTGTCTGATTCCAGAAGCTATGCAATATTTTGGTATTTCATCTTAAAGGTAAAGAACGAAGACTCCAAAAATGTAAAAAAAATTGGTAACAATAATTTAAAAATAATAGCTAACATTTATTGAATACTTAACTATGTGCAAGGCATGTGGTAACAGTTCTCTACCAATGAATCAGGGTGTCAACTTATTCATCTTCCACAGACGAGTCCATATTTAGGCCAGAAAAAAAGATTGAGCTGCTCGTTCATCCTTAGAGGATGTAATTACAGATTAGCATTAGAATATCTGTGCTTATTTTTTACTTTATATAGTTGTGTGCTATACATTTTTAAAAATTATTTTTCAATTTAACACCATCTTTTAAATTGCATAATGAATAGTTAAGTCACAATTTTCTAGTCTGCAGACCAACTGAATGATTTCATATTACACAGACACATCCCCTTGGTCTAAAACCTGTGTGTGAACATAGAAAACCAACAGATGTAATTAGTTAAGACGATAAAATGATACTTCATTTTACCATGGGAATTTTTTACCACCACAGGAATATTTTACCATAGGAAAATTTTACCACCATAGGAATCACAGGAGTGGGAGAGGTAGATATGTTTGAAATGTTAGATTATTTCCTAACATGCAACTAAAAAATAATTATTACAATATGTTTAGTTTCAAATCCATATCAAGATATAGCTGACCCACAGGGTATTTGCCTTAGTACAGAGCAGTAGAGAGAGATTGGATCATTAAAAACTCTTTTGGTAGAAAATTGTTAGGTAATTTTTACAAAGCAGATGTCTTACACTCTGACTCAACTAATAAGAGCATTGTCGTCTCCTAGTAATTTACTGATTTCCATTTTATTTGCTCTTGCTGTCCAGAAGTTGAACCCTTTTGTGCTTGCATTTCACTCTTTGCTGGTAGGAGCCATCTGAATAAATAGAAATCAGTAACCCAGTTACATATGAGAGAGGCTCTGTATTCCTACCAGCTGGCCTTACACAGGGAGAGAGGAGATAATGAGTATTTTAGCATCAGCTGCCCCTGCCCTGGTTTAGTAAGGGAAAAATGGTGAGACCTAATTTCTCTAAACTCTGCAGTTATCTTATCTAGTGTTATCATCAAATCTTTTCACTTATCACTTCATTTTATCACATTTTTAAAACTTTTTACAATTTGATATTTTCTGGATCTTATTCCTCTATTGCTTTCACATTAACACTTACAATTTACCTGTAGCTCACCCGGGGAGCTGTACTAGGCACATTCACCTCCGTGAAGGTTGGACAAGTGTCACCAAGCAAGCAGTTTCAGAAGGGTCAGAGGGCCCCAAAGTCATGCATATTTTCTCCTAAATTCTTATGCATGAATATAGTCTAACATAGGGGTGTACGAAATGAGAGATTAAACGTTAATTTGAAAGCCCCCATGCTGGAAGTTAGGTAAAATTCCATTACATTTGAGTAATTCTAAGCAAGCAATTGTTACCCTTTATCCTTTAGTGGAATTGACGAACAGGTGGTTTTCAGAAGATCACTCAGTATATTTAGCTTCTGAAATTTGAGCGACTCAAGATCTGATTGGCTGCTCTTGCCACATGTAATTCCAAGCTGAGGCACCACGCTGGCTCTTGCCTGGGGTTCTCAGGAGGGGAGAGTTGAGAGAGGCTTTGCTGCTGAGGAAATTTATTTGATAGATTGAAGGTAAGGCCAGTTTATGGCTTTTTCTGTAATGTTCTTTCAGATGTTCCACAACTTCCCTTAGAGTATTTTCCAAGGTTTTGGGTCATACCTGGGGAAATCAGTGATGGAAATGTCTGTGACCCCATCGCCCTGCTCAGGCCCTACTAACATCTGACATGTAGTGTGTGAGTCAAGTCCTTTACTGACCAGTTTTTTGCTTGTCTGAGTTGACTGTCTTGTCTAACAAAAAAATTTTTTTCATTTTTTGCCCTTGATTTTTTTTTTCTAAATATATTAGTACGGAAAAGGATCTATGTTCCACGTTCCTATATTTATCCTTTTCTACTGGGCTTCATTTGCCTCAGAAGGAGTGGCAGTTTCACTAGCTTAACAAAACCAGCCACGGCTGGGTGTTGGCTTACATGGCAAATACCTTTGGGCCAAGGGACAGCTGCCCCAAGTCATCATCCACTTTAACCCACAGAGAGCTCTCTCTAGCGTCAGACTAAGAGGGCCTTGGAAGATCCTTTCTTTAGTTCTCAAATTAGAAGCTTAGGACAAAGACCCACAATCTTATATGTAATTCAGTCAATGCTTTAAAAATGTGTTATTTTTCAGGTTTGAACAGGAGCTACAAAAGCGAAAGGGAAAAATCCATATAAGCCAATGGTGTCCGGGAAGAAAATAAGCCCATTGCCTTGAGGTTTCTGTTTTCTTTTAAAATCTATTGACAGATTTATTTTTACGTGTTCTAATTGGAAGCGTAAGACGTAGCGCCTACCATGGATTAGAGCAGTATGGAGAGCAAAATCTACCCTCTTGGAATTCTGAGGCTAAGGGAAAAATTTCAGCTTCTGAGAGCCACACTGAATGAAAATGTTTTTCTCCAAGTATTTGTAACTTGAATGCTCTGTTTTTTTATTCATCCAAATCCTCCCTCTCCCTTACCTCAACTTCCTTTACAACTTTAACTAAACAGATCACATAGCTGGAAGTAGCAATATTCAACATGTCACTAAAGGGAGTTTAGAGAAGGAAATTTGAAGTCTCGGGTGTGTGAGCCTGTTTTTTAGATATCTTCTCTCACTTAGCCTGCAAAAATAATATGAATATGCAGACTAGACTAGTCTTAAATTCTGTTTTTATGATGGTTAAGGTGGTTTCAGTGCTAGGGAAAGATTCTAATGTTTTCATTTGTCTGGAATATGAAAAGTTTGTAGGTGCCACTACTACTCTGGGAAAATGGCAGATGACGAAGAATATGAGGAGGTGGTGGAGGTAAGATTAAAAACCGACTCTGACAGCCAAGTATTTTATGCAATGACAATCAAAGCCGTGTAGGTGAATTAATCATTTGAAAAATACATTGTCTATTATAACTTCACAAAGAGTCATCATTAAAACATGTGGAAGGAATATTTTACGTTCAGTTTCACTATAATTATGTGGGTTTTAGAACTGAAAAGAAATATCACTGTTTCCCACTTTTGCTTTTCTTTAAACTCTCAGTGTGGGGTAAAGGTGGGTTTTAATTTGTCTTCTGAAACTACCTTCTCTGCCACCTTCAATTCCTCATGATAAAAGGGACAGAGGAGATGAAGAGAAAGTTATGAAAACTGAACTTTGTTTCTTAGTGTCTACACAGCAAAAGAGGAAAAAGGACTACTTATACTGGTGATTATTGGTAGGACAATATGGATTAACTGTTCAGAATATAGATATGAAATTATATGCATATATGAGATTTTATATGTATATGTGCCTACACACGTACATAGACATACACACGTACATAAAAATAAACTCATATGCTCACCATTTGGAACTATCTTTTCCCACCAACTCCATTTTATTTATTCAAGGGAACAAAACTAGCTTTTGCTTTTGAGTTTTGAAAAAGAACAGAGACCATAGTAGACATCATGAAAAATTTCTTCCAGATTATTGGTCAACATCTGATACAATTTACAAAGCTGTTAATTTTTCATTTTATATTTATTTCATAAAATTTTACTTTTATCATGTTATGGTTTTTCTTCACCAGCTAGTCCCTTTAGCTTCACATTCTAGAATGAAATCTTGGAGGCTATAATCCATATGAATACATTGCCATTGAATCTGAAAGTGCTTAATAATTACCAGTTAATGATGATGAGCTAAACATGTGAAAAGCTCCAAGTGCCTGAAACACTTGGAGGCAGTTTTGAAAATCTGTTTTTTCAATAAAAATGAAATTAACTTTAAGAGCTTCCCAGAACCAAATTCCAAATTAAAGTACCCAAATGTGTTTTTGGAAGATATTTTAGTGACCAGTCAATATTTAGATGAGAACAATTTTATTTGATTCTACAAATAAAATTGCTTTTATTCAAGTGAGGATAAGAAAAAATAAAATAAAGCCAAACCAGAACAGATTTCATACAGTATAGCATTCAACCTCTCCTGTTTAAATATCAAAGGCTGCATCCTCAGTGTTCAATATTATCACTAGTGGGCATTTTACAAACACCCCTAAGTGAACATACACTATTAAACACATACACGATTATAAATTAAATTGCCTGCTCTGTGAAGGTAATGCCAGGAATACTTTCTGGCTTCCAACTTAAATATCCCTTGTCTTTCTTAAAGTAATTGTGTCTGTTGGTCACTGGAAATTGTCCCTAGTGCTAGAGTTGACTGGTTTAACTAGATGTCATAAAAATGGAAGGGGCTATTTTTAAACATCTCATCCTTTCCATTTTGTTTCCATTACTGCTTCTGGGTCTGACCAGCAAGTTCTGAACTAAGAGACTTCCTGCCAGGGAGTGTTGAACCAAGGTCTCTCTGACCCCGTAAAAGATGCCATGAGAATGCGATGGTAGCAAATTCAAGAACATGGTCAGGGAAGCATTCAAAAAACAGAAACGAGCTTTAAAACTCCAACTCCTAGGAATCTTGGACACCTAAATAAAATTGTATGTCATTCTTTACACAAACTTAAGCTTGGAGGAAAGGAAAGGAAGAAAGGATGTGCTATCTATTAGTGGTACAGCTCTAAAAAAAAAAAGTGAGATATGGCATTTGGATAATGTGTTTTATAAGCTTATTCCCAAGATGTATTTACCAATGGTGTGAACCCTATAAAAGTAAAACTGGATGGTAGCAAAGAGCCACTTTTACTTGGATGCTAAGAAAATCCAAAATAGTTGTGAATCATTCATTTTAGTGTAATATTTCTTCTCAAGTCACTGCTGTTTTGTGTGACCAGAGGAATAGTTCCATGTGGGTCAGCGTCAAGCAGTATTTCCTATGGTGTCTGAATGATAGTTCTCATGTGACGAACGTACAAGCATATAAAAGAGAAATTCTCTGTCCTGTAAGAGCTTGATTTCTGTTGCTATGTGTAAGGACATACAGATGAAGTAAAATAAAAAATAAAATAAAGCAGCACAGGAGCAAAGAAGGTACAAGAGTGATGGACATTAGACTAGTTTTATAATAATTTTACTGTGGGTGAAATAGAGCATGTGACCTATTGACAATGGTTAAGTAATTTGATGACATTCACTGAACCAAGGGCAGAAGCAAAGAGACTGCTGAGGGAAATTTTGTACTCAGTGTTTTTCCCTTTCCCTAAGTATAGATATGTTTCAGTGGCAGAGAAAAGAAAAATGAAGCAGAAAAATATTATACATTTTGTTGACTGAGAAAGTGAGCCAGTGTTTCATTTTTATCTTTCTTGTGTGCTGTGGCCTAAACCCATCTTCTGTTCGCCCAGCTTAGCTGGGTGACACTGGGGCAGGATTCCACTCTCCTTACGCATGTGAAACAAAATGTCAGCCAGTTCCCTATCCACATCTATTTATTGCTGGTGATGTTAGAAGTAGAACAAAAGTAGATTTGACTTCAGATCCAGCCCGCAGGCACCTCAGAGCCACCAGAGGCAAACTGCAGCCTAACTTTCCCACTTCTTGTAAGGAGGCATCTCCTCATTTTTTCCTTCTCTCCTTGGAATTTGTAAATTTGCCTCTTGGCCTCCTTCCTGCACATCACGCTATGGAAAGGGGTTTGTCTATCACTCCCAGAGACACTCTCGTTACTTGGCATCAGGGTAGTGCAGGGATCATTGAGATGTGTATGTGCCTTTGGATCTGTGTGCTTCCATGATCCAACCCATTTAAAAATTCTATTCACACTGAGGTTTCTGTTTTGTTTTATTGTTAGTTAGCAAACGGTGGGTTTTATCCCAGTTCCTCTCTGCCCAACCCCCACACTAAAGATTTTGTTACTATATTCTTTTCTTGGCAAATTCTACCTTGGGTACCATAAAAAAAAGTTTCAAATGTCCCAACAGCTTCCCCTGACACATAACTAACGCAGACACCTTTCTCCCACTCCGCATCTCCTTGTCCAGTCTGCTGGCATTCACTTTACTTCCAAGACATTTCACACAGTTAAAATGAGTCCCAAAACATGAACAGGCTTCCTCACCTACTTCCTCCCCCAGATATTGCAAAACAACTAGGAAATGACCTAAGTGGTTCAGCTGAGGCAGAGGAGAGCTGATTTCTGCTTTGGTTCTCATGATGATGCCTTTGTGCTCTGTTTATAGTACTACACGGAAGAAATAGTCTATGAGCAGGTGCCAGGGGAGGTAAGACCCAGCCCACGCCTGACAAACTGCATGCTCATTAAAGCAGAGCGTCCCCGCTCCCAGACTCCCCAGGGCCACAGAACGGTCAAAAGGGAGACTGGGGGAGGGCCACTCACCTGTGTGTGTCCAGCCGCTGATGGTACAAGAATGAACATTGCCTGCCTGATAGATCACATCACTGTTGTTGCTGTTCAATGTATCCAAGATGACTGGGGATGACTTCCCCAATTGCTCATGTGGTATTTTTGGTATAGGTGATACTAGAGTGATGTCAGTGGCTATCACCACTCTCTGACTGAAGCAAAGGGATGGGGTTTGGATTTGTGATTTGCGAGGGGACCAGCAGTTTTACTGTATAGTTATAACTTGGGGGGCACCCTCTCAGCCTCCAAGGGATAGGCCTCCAGGCATCTGTCCCTAATGATGCAATGAAAGGTGACAGATTTTTAGCACATTAGGAATTCTAAGAAAGCCGTTCCCATATATATCCCAAGTTAAAACTTTTTTTCAATGTTAAAACCTCACTCATGCTTCATTTTCTGCATGGAGCTATTTTTCCTGAGCACAACAAACAGTGATGTAGATGGCTGACCCTACAGCCTGCCCAGAGAGCCTGGGACTGCATGAAAACTAACATCTGTAGATGCTGCAATCGGTTAGTTCCTCACAGTCAACCACATATCAGTAGGAATAGGCAGAAAGCAACCTATTAGCAGTGATCTGACACCACTAGGGGAAGTTGTCATAGACATATCATTTCCTTATTATTTAGGTTTTTCTTTTTCTAATTGTTGCTAGAATTCTGCCTTTGCTACAGACATTAGCTGTGAAGAAAATTATGCTATGACATGGATTGAAGATCTGTTGCTTACCTTCTTTTCCTGCATATGGTCTTTTTAGCCTTGGACTAGACCCAAATTTGGGGCCTAGGTTTCTTCCACTATATAGCTTGTTGTAAGAAACAGTAATTTCCCACCCACCACATATGTAGGACTGTGGTAAGGATAATTATCCTATTATATTGTCATCATTATTCTTCTCCACCTAAGCATTTATTAGTGTAAATGGCACACCAGTTCGCATTAATTAACTGATGAGACCAAAAGAATGTATTGATGTGATTCATTTTTTAAGCTCATTATTCTTTGTCTCTTATTACAGAGAATGCCTACACTCCAGTAGAACAAGTAACTGACTTCTTAGATTCATTTAGAAGTTAATATTAAACTCAAGAATTAGAGCTTTTGATTTCTTAATCTTTTGTTCTCTGATCCCAAGTTTGCTTTTACTTTACGCAGACAATTTAAGAAGATTTTAAATGTTTAAGAATATGTTATTTCTGATTTTTAACCTACCTTTCAGTGTTTGAGTTCCTTTCTGCAAATGGAATTTTAAGGCAATGTTGCAAATTAATAAGGAGTAACCTTTTTACTCCATGCACTCTTGAACAATCAGCTTTTAGATTTATGTAGCATAATGTGCTTTCAAACGGATATACGGTGTGGTTTCCTGCTTTGACCTGTTTTAGATATGTAAAAGTAACACTAGGAACGGAAGTTGATGTGAAGTCAGAATAGTGTATATCAAGATCATGGGATCACAGTTTTTACTATCATAACAATATCGGTCTGCATATCAAATTTTCAGACAATAACAGAAATCTATGAAACCACCACGACGACAACACCTGCCTATGGACAATCAGAAACTTACAAACCAGCTCTGGCACAGCCAGTACCGGCAAAGCCAGAGCAGAGGAAGAAGGTTATCCGGAAGAAAGTGGATTCTTCAAAGTTCATGACCCCCTACATCGAACACAGTCAGAAAATGCAAAATCTATTTAGCCCAGTAAGTTTCAGACAAGTTCTGCTAATCTGGTTTTTATTATTGAGAAAGTATTGATGTCAACCGATTCTATTTTAGATGCTGGCTGGATTTTGTTTCTCAAACCTATATGAGACAAAAACTTATTCTACAAAAACGCAAGCTTTTGTAACTCTTGAATTCTCCTTTCATGTAATTTATTTGCACAATTGCAGCATTGGGGAAAGTATCCTTAGTGAAATTATTCCCACAAAATAGGCATAAGGCCAGTTATAAAGCATTAACTGGTGTTTAATCACTACTGATTAGACATTCTACAATAGTGAAATCATGAATATAGGTCTAGTAGAAGTCAGTGCATGGAAGGTAAATAACATCTATTTGAACTATGTCTGAGCAGGATGCCTCTTAAGCAGACTAGTTAACAGTATATAAAAAGGTCACTAAGTGGTAAATAGTGAAGATGAACACATAGTTTAGAAAACCAGGATCAGACTAAGAACTCATCTGACATTGAGGATCAGAATGTTCCATCCCACTGTGGTTTTTCCGTGGGGCTACATGTTAGAATCCTCTGGGAGCTTTCAAACTACTGATGACCAGGCCATTCTGGTTTAATCATTCCAGTCCAAACCTGTGGAAAAGGACTTTTAAAAGCTGCCCAGGTGATTCTGGTGTGTAGCTCAAGCTGAGAATCACTGCTATTGGAAGTCCCTGGTTCTTCAATTCTCTGTGCACTTCTGTAAGTTACATTGACTGGCAGCAGACTGAGACCCACTTGAATGGATCTAACTTGGTGATTGTCCATGGTAGTTTGAGGTCCCCCTAGATGGCCTGATGGCATGTCCCATGGAGGCTTAAAGAAATGAAAAGTAGCTCAGGGGAACACTGGATTATATAAGACTAATGCTTATGTTTTAAATCATCTTATTGTGGTTTGCCAATAAATACTCATTTTTGGTTCAGTGGGGACAATTTGGTAAATTTCTAGTTGAGTCATGAATGATCTAAAACTTAGGTTTCTTAGATTTCTGAAAACAAGATTATCTTGCCCTCCTTTATTATTGCAGTATTCAGCAAAGACAGGATTTCTTTGGTTAACTTATTGCCAAAAAATCTTATAGATAGAAATACTAATATCCTAGAATTTCTGATAGTCTGACAAAATGTTAGCAGAAGTTTATTTTTTTAAGTGGTTAGTATAGAAATCAGTAGTGTGATTGTTGACTACTCCATTCAAGAATACTCTTGGAGCATTAATACTGATAAATTATGCAGATTGTTATTAAAGCAAAACTCTTTAGCAGAAATAAAATTTTATTCCTTTTCAAAACCCTCCATAATTCAGACTTCCATTAATTCAGCTAGTGTCTGAACTCTCCAAATCACTGAGATTTAGCCACAACTTCTAAGTTGAATATTTTTGCATTGTATTAACAACGGAATCTTTTCAGACTTGATTCAACATGTGTAGTTATTTTCTAAAATTATTGAGGTTCAGGCTTTTTGTGTGTACATTCAGACAATAAAACCATTGAGAGAATCATTCTAGGGCCTTTCCAAGATGATAGTGCATAATAAAATTTCTGCTGTTTCCAGTGTCCAACCATATTTAGGAAGAGCAGTTAACAAATCTATTTTAGTCTTTGCCGAGAACTAGGGTAGGTGACAAAAAGAAAGCTATTATAACTGATCATTGTTTAACTGGAAGATTTTTTTTTTAATTAGGTGGGGATGAATGTATTATCTAAAATTGCTGCTTCTGCCTTGTCAGGTTTTAGGCTAATATCTGATATTCTTTTCAGAACAAATACAAGGAGAACTATGAGAAAGCAAAAGGACAGTCTTATGCCATCACTACCGATACCCCAGAACTTCGCAGAATCAAGAAAGTACAAGATCAACTCAGTGAGGTGGGCTGCATTGCTAAAATAAAGGAGAGAGACATCTCAAAAATATGCCGATTGCTGGGAATTGAAGGCTCTAAGTAGTTGCAGAGAGGATAAGGGGTTGAATTAATGTGAACCAGTCTAGAAATCCAGAAGAAGCAATAGCAATGGAGTGGTGGCTCTAAAAGTGAACCCAGAGAGACTTGAAAAGCTTGGCTTAGCAAATTGGCTTAAGAGACAGTATGAGATAGAAGTTCTAATTCACAATCATTTTCCAGGTAGGAGCGCAGAGAGACTGAAATTCGGCCAGGAAAGCAGACAAGCCACAAATGCAGGAGCTCTGCAGATCTTGGAGATCACAATTTTCTACCTAAAATATAGAAACTTTGCTTTATTGTGCAGACATCAAGTCGCGGGGTTACCGCTCTTTGGGAATAAGGTGTTCTTTAATATCCTCACACATTCATGCCTGTCACGAATCTTGTGCATTATTTCTGCAGGTTAAGTATCGAACGGATGGTGATGTCGCTAAAACTATCTGTCATGTAGATGAAAAAGCAAAAGACATTGAGCATGCCAAGAAAGTGTCGCAGCAAGTCAGTAAGGTAAGGTCATGGGATGGATGGCTGGGGTATTAAATTGCATGTGTATTACCTCTGCCTGGCTTTAGAGGAGAAAACTGAACACGTGTGATCCATGAACATGCTTACGAGTCTCACAGTGAGTCTCTGATGCCCACATGTGGCAGGGAGACCACACAGATGGCTGCAGAGGCCCGTTGGAACTATGGGGCATTGGAGAGCCCACGCCCTGCAGCCCAGCTCCAGGCAGTTGATGTGCAGAGTGCAGTCCCAGTGTTGCCACAGTCTCTTATTTATTTTTAAAGAAGTCAAGGAACTTAATCTTTATGAGGAATATCCAAATTTCAAATGTAGGCAACTAATTAAAAACGTAAAAAAATAACAGGTAAGTCAAAAGAAACATGTTTACCACCCAAATTCAGCCAGTGACTGACAGAGATTGCAGCCTTTAAAAGGGATCTATACAGAAACAGAACCATGATTTAGTTTAAAATTTAGACTTTTCTAGTGAGAAGCTTACTAAGGCAAGAGAAGTGTTATGGGATTTTGACGTGGTCACATTTTCACAATTGATGCTAGTAGTACACGGGCACATGGGCAGCCTCAGTGCAGGGATGCCCTGGGCAGGAAGGACTCTCCACAGTGCTCTGCTTTGTTCTCTACAACCTCTTGCTCTCTGGGGAAGCATCAAGCTACAGGTCCTCTGCTCTTCTGTCTAGGTTTTATACAAGCAGAACTGGGAAGACACCAAGGATAAGTACCTGCTTCCCCCTGATGCCCCTGAACTTGTCCAGGCCATTAAGAACACAGCCATGTTCAGCAAGGTAAGGGTCTCTGCTCCATTGCCAATTGTAGCATCCCGTGTCCTCCCACTGGGTAGTTTAAAGGAATACCCAATACTCTTCATAATCTGCAATGTGGTTCCCCAGTCTTTTTGTGAGTAGTTTTGAGACATGGAGGGTGGCAAGGATAGGCTTGGCAGGGAGAGACTGAGAAAAAAGTGCAGGAGAGAGTTCTATCAGGAACCTGAGCAGCCTGGGGGAAGCACGTGTGGAGAGAACGCAGATGCATCTGAGAACGGGCTCTGAGAGACGCACAGAGACCCACACAGCGTAGACCCTATGCACACTTTGGATATTCCTAGAGATCACTCTCATTCAAGGTTCATGTGGGGCCAGAAACCCTGGTAAGTGCTTCCTGGCTCCCTACACCTGCATTAGTACTTGTTGCAGGAGGCAAGTAAAGTCCCAGAGAGGAGGTGAAATACAATCAGATACCTTTACCTGTCTGTAAGTAAGGTTTGTCAGGAGAGCAGGGCAAGCTCTTAATAAATATGACTTGGACAGGATGGAAAGGGGGCGTGGGGGATTATCTGTGAATTCCATTTACCTCTGCCCTTACCCTGCCCTTGATTCTTTGTGCCACTGTGGATAGATTAAAAATCATGTATTTCATCTAAGTATGATCTCACTTTCTCATAACTTTTTACTCTTTTCTGATTTAGAAACTGTACACTGAAGACTGGGACGCCGACAAGAGCTTGTTTTACCCATATAACGATAGCCCGGAGCTGAGAAGGGTCGCCCAAGCCCAGAAAGCTCTCAGTGATGTAAGTGAAATGCAGTTGGCACCACTGGGAGTGAGGAATCAGGACCTTGAGTTACATATTCTGGCCAATTCTTTTTTAAAATGTTTATCACAGTTCTTCTTTAAAAAAATGCTAAATGCCATTATTGCAGAGGAATATGTCTAGAATCATTATAACTTAGGTTATCTAATTTAAGTTAGATTTTATAATGTCTATTAGACATAATTTAGTCCCATCCCCTTACAAGTGAGGAACCTGATAGCGGCAGAACCCAGGCTAGAAGCCTGGTCTTGTGGTCCCAAACCATTGCTCTTTCCATAAGAACATGCGCTTTTCTGTCCGCTTGGCTGGAGTTGACATTTTCTCTACGACAATAAAGTGCATTTTAAAAAGACTGTTGGGATCACAGTCTCACCTTCCCAGATGTATGAAGTGAGCAATGATACTGAAGGATTTTGATTCGCTGTTCTAACTATAATGGCTGAATTATGCTGTGTCTCCCTTGTTCTGCTCGGGGGGCCTGACTAACAGGCTTGTCCAAACGTGTTTGCTGCAGTCATATCACAAATAGCTCTTGCCATTGGGTGGAGGCTTTTTTGGAGTTAGTAAAAAATCAGCAGTCTCTCTGGTTATAATTTTAGCATCATAGCCCTTGAAAACTGTTTATTAGAGGAACTTAAAAGGCCTAATAGAGGCCTTACGGTTGAAAGCAGCTGAGCAGAGAGCCCCAGCCGAGCTGAGCACTTCCTGTGTTCTGCGGTACTTGACTTCCTGACCCCTGGGTTTGCGTGAGGCCAGACTGAAAATCCAAGGACTACCGCTCTGCTCTTCCAGGGAGTGTTACATTATAAAATGACAAATTATTTTTCACTCAATTTTCAGCCAGACCCTGGAACCTCTTCCATTCAATATGGACTTAATAAGCCAGTTGGCATTCATTTCCAGTGGATCTTAGGATCCTATCTTGCCCCCAACTGGAATTATGCCTGCTCATTTGATGGTCTCTCCACCTTCTGAGGTCTAATTTTTATTGCCTCTCACTTGATATCACCTGCAAATTTAGTGGGCATATTTCTATCCCACTTTGTATATAACTGGTTAAAATATAGCACAGATATACTCCTATCCTTCCATAGGTTAAGTAGAGACTAAAAAAAGCATAACAAAATATTAAGGTGGTCTAGTACATGACACCAATTTTAACATGTAGAGAGACCTCTTGCTTCTTTTTTAAGATTAGCTTTTTATTTCTATATCTCATGAATATAAATATTGTTGTGTGACCTTTATCAGGCAATCAATAGTTATTTATTGGAATTCCTTATACATGCATACCCAGCAGGATAGAAAAGTACAAGAATTTTTAATCAGGCTGGTAAGATAAAAATGTTATATATTAAATAATAAGAGAAAGTTTTTAAAAACCACAAATCCTATAGTCTAATACTTGTTAAGAGAAAGACAGGAAACCTGTGAGGAATCAGAGAAGGCTGTGTGGAAGTGGGAATCTTGAGAGAATGAGCAGCGAGGAGCAGGAGAAGCATTTCCAGAGGAGTGAGCCCGTGAGCAAAGGGACAGAGGTGCAATGACTTCTGTTTTAAGGGACAAAGAAACTGAAGGCTGCGGGTGCCTACTTAGGAAAGTATTTGTAATAAATGGGCAGTGGGACCTTGAAAACCAAGCAAAATAGATTTAGCATGATATAATAGGCAATAAGAGGCATCACAAGATTTTGGAGAGGAAAACCATATAGTAAAAGTAGAATCTGGAGAAATTTTGATGGACAATATGGTAGATTGGGACTAGGAAAGAATGTGATCATTCGTAGAAGGCTTTTTCAGTAATATGGATGGATCCCAGAGTGACAGGGACAGAGGAGAGGAAGAAAGGAATCTGAAGGTTATAAGCATTTGGATATAATTGGTATGGTGGATATATTGGCAATAAGCATGTGAAGGACATTGGATATTGCAGATGAAGGAGAGAAGAGAGTCAAGTGAGTTTACGACACACTGGTCATCTGGGCGTATAGAGGAACAACTGGAAAGAGGCATTAGTGGAAAGAGAAATAGAGTTGAAATAATTGAAGGAACATTCAGAGCAAGACATCTTATGGTAAATTAGAAATTTGGTATTATTGCATAGGTATGAGATCAGGACAAGAGATTAATATTTGAGAGTCATTAGAATAAAAGTGACAGTTCAAGATATGAAAGTGTATGAGAGAGACAGAACAGTGTATGATCAAGGGCAGAGCTTTGGAGGACACCCAGGGTCAGGACATCTGGAAAGGAGCCAGCAAAAGGAGGGGGAACAGTCAGAGAAGTTGAAGGGAAACCAAGAAATGCCATGTCATGAAAACCTAGGGAGAGGTTTCCAAGAAAACGCTTTATCTCCGAACGTCTCCTTTTATCCATAAAATGGAGAGATGAAGGGTTGCCTCCATGCCACTCTAGTGCTGTGAACTCTGAGCAGTTAAAGTTAACCACCTTTTTTTTGAGATATCTCAGTAAGAGACATAATGAAAGAGAATATAATAAGTAAAACCTACCCATCCTTGCTCAGAAAAACTTGGCAGTTAAGATGTGGCTTTTACTTGTATTGCAGACCAAGTGTGCACTAAATGTCAGGTTACCAACATGCCTATTAATACTGTTGTCAGCACCATGAGCTTCTACAACTATTGGGCACAGAATCCCATGAAGCTGTTGTTCAGAGAACATACTACGGGATAGGCATGCAGATTTCAAGCTAAGGACTTGGGGTCAGAGCCTCCCTCCCCATCGCTTGTACCTTCTTCCTGCATCCCTCTTAACTCTATTTAGAGACAAAATACTTTGCAAACACTAAGAGGGTCTTTAAGCTGATACAGGGTACAGAATTCTAACTAGGCAATTGTGAACAAGGTTCCTGAGAAATTAGGATTTCTAGATCTGATTTTCTGAACATTCTTGACAGTTTGTCATACTTAATAAGTGTTTCTCCTGATAAAATGTTGCTTTCTCTCTAAGGACTTAACTAGCCATGGAAAATACTAGTTGTCCTATGCCTAAAATAAAATCTTCACTTACTTAAAAGAAATTAGGCAGTGGAATTAACATAAATACATTTAAAAACCTGTCATTTATGTCCCAATTGATTTGATGTTCATGAAAGCTTTTGTTATAGGCACTAGGGAGCTATTGTTAAGATAAGATATAGTTAAACTTAATTAATACATGAAGAAGATGATTGGGACACTAAAACTCTCCAGCCCCCTTACTTTATAAATAAGACTACTGCTACGTGGAAGGAGATTAATATGTAGAGGTTTTACAACTGAGTGCAAGAGTTGAGAGGCTAATGCTCCTCTCCATACTTCCCCCAATGACCTTAGTGTATAAAACACTCATTGAGAAATCAGTCATTGAACCCTCGCTGTAGTCAGGGACTGTGCAGGCCACTAGGATTCTCAAAAGAGAGTCCAGAACTCACAGTCCAAGGAAGGACAGACATGTATACAACCAGTTACAGTGTCAACCTGTAACTCCTTTGAAGGAGTTAAGGGCCAAGTTGAATCAGATGCCAGGAAAGGTCATCAGGCCAAGGGAGGGCTCAAGAGGGAAAACACACCTGCCCTGAAACATGGAGAACAAGCAGGTATGGAGAGGGTAGAGTTAGGGCGTTGCAGGGAAAGGGAGGAGGAGGAATGAGGTCTAGAGACCTGTACCCGGGGGTCTGTGAATAGTTCTGAATTGCTGGAGGTGGGTGGGGGTCAAGACTGGTGGAAGAAAAAGCTAGAGGAGTTGATAGTGAAGAAAACAAGGAGGGCAAGAGGGAAGGGGATGCGTGATTAACAGACATGATGTCCATTTTAAGGCAAGAGAGGACTTTTATAAGCTGAAGGAAAGCAGCCAGTGAAGAGGGAGTGGTCCAAGCTGGAAGAAAGAGGAGGGGTGACTGAGGGAGCTAGGCACAGCGGACCACTGGAGGGAGCAGCACCCTGAGTGCAGGAGTCACGCCCTGCGAGGGGTGCTTCTCTGAGCCACGCAGCAGGTGCGGGAGGCGGGGATGTACAGGGAAGGAGAAGTATATCTGTAGCCATTCTTTATGAAGGAGGAAGCTGAGAGTAAGGTGGAGATGACTGGGGAGCTCAGGACACTGTTGGAGTTTTAGGTTAGCCACTGGGAATAGAGACTGACCATAGACTCACAGTGGGATATTCAAGCTTCATGAAAGGGCAAGTGGTAACTGGACACCCTAAATCCCGAGTGTTGGCCACTTGAGCTCCACAGAACATATCACTGAGCAGGCACCCAGATCTCAAGCTAAAGGCCCAGGTTCAAGAGGCTCCCTCTCCCTCCTCCATACCTTCTTCCAGTGTCCCTTTAACCCTGCTTATCATTACCATTATCCAGTCTATAGAGTGGTGTGATTTTCTTCGGTAGCACTCAGTGTCCTGGATGTAAGAACAGAAAGGTGTGGTTGAGTCGATCCAGAGCTGCGGGTTTGCTAGCGGGTGTGATGTAAAGACAGGAGGTCCAGAGTTGAGGATGCCGATTAAGTGAATTATTCAATTGCAAATCATGATATGGAGATAAATGGGAGGAAACAGATCTAGGACCAATAATCTTGGAGAAGAGAGAAGATGCAAAGAGATAGATGTCACCAGTGATACCAAGAGCAAATCGGTGTAACATCTGTAAGGATTCATTACAGTTACGTGGTATACGCTAAAACTTAAACCTTCACATAAAGCTGAAAACATCATCTTTTTTCAAGATGCCAATAAAAGGAACATGGGAAGTAGACTAACTTTGTATGGCTCATGAGTATTCATTCCTCTCTTTGATTCTGTCAGATTGCCTACAAAAAAGGTCTGGCTGAACAGCAAGCTCAGTTCACATCTCTGCCAGATCCTCCAGATATAGAATTTGCCAAGAAAGTGACCAATCAAGTGAGCAAGGTAAGTAAATAGGTCTGGGACACCGTCTCCCTTGAAAACTTTGGTTAATCATTTCGACCATCAGAGAAAGTAACTAAGGTGAACCTAAAGATGCAACACAAACACCAAGAGTATTTTTGCAGATGCCCCTAACCACGCTGCCACAAACACATCCATTAACACGGTGGAGCCATATTAAATGTTCACCCGCTTGATGATTCAGTAATTGATAAATGCAAAAGCCGCATTTTGAACACAGAGCCCATATTTGTGATGTCTTTTGACATTTTGACTTATGGGGACTGATACTAATAGAGAAACAAATAACCACGTGTTTCCACAAAGGAGATGATTGTTTTCATTCAGGTGAAGACCCCATGTAGTTTTGGAGGAATAAGAACACATGAGTGTTCTCTCAGACACGACTTAGTCTGACAGCGAGGGGCAGTGAGCCCCTTAACATCTAAGGCCCTAGCAAACAGCTTCAGTTCACCTGTATTTAGATGGGTAAAGTAGCTCTGAGGACTAGCCCTGGCAAGGAATGCAGAGAGACAGATGTTCCACTGATGAATAGGCCCATGCTAAATGCCTATTTTAAATTGGTTCAAATCAGGCCACCTTCTCCTGGGTACTGCTGCTTTGAAATTCATTTTCTTTGCCGTCTATGGATTTGCATCTCAGTTTGGTCCTCTGCCTGAATTTTGATGGAACCTCAAGATTTCTATATTGTTTAATTATTTTCTGGGAAAGGATGTCTCCAATAAAGGAAAAGGACAAGAAGTTATGGATGATGAAGTCTGTTTGGTGATGTTTAGTGTCTGATATTACAGATTACTTAACTGAATAACCTAGGGCTACTGGGATAAAAGATGTAGTAAGTATAATAGAATTTCACTAATAGGATTTCAAGGAACCTGAAATTTTTCCCAGGGCTAAGCAGAAAGTAACTTTTTTAGACAAAGGTCATTAGATCTTTTTAGACAAAACAGAAAAAGCTGCTTTCAAGTATAGTCATTTAGAAAGAAGAGTAAATACAGTTTTAATTTTTACTGAAAGCATATTTTAGAAGATATCTGACTTATGCAACATTCTTTTACTTTATTTGAGTATGTGATGTGGATATTTGAAAGTGATTGACATCAACTTCAGAATCCCCTAATAATCAGTCTCTCCACTAATGTAGGCTTGCCAGTCAGTCTAGAATGGCACTCTTGCATATAGCAACCACCAGCCACATACAATTGTTGAGCACTTGAAATGTGTTCATATGATCTGAGGGTCCTATATGTGTACAATATACACTGGATCTTAAACACTTAGTACAACAAACATGTAAAATAGCTCATTAGTTGTTTTTATGTTGATTATATTGATGAAATGATAATATTTTGGATCCATTGGGTTAAGTAAAATATATTATTAAAGTTCATTTCTCACCTGTTGCTCTTTTATATTTTGAATATGACTACTAAAAAAATTAGAATTACAGTGGTGGCTTGCATTAGAAGCCTATGGACTGCACCACTCCAGCATCCACCTGGAGTTGGATGAGAACCCTGGTTACTTTGAAAGCATTTCAAGGGCTGGGTTTGCCCTTGCAGAATAACAAAAAGATCCACAATAGGAAAAACATAAGATTTCAGGTTGGAATGCAACTGGTATCTAGAATTGAAAGGAAAAACTCTGTTTCCTCTCCTTTTTACTAATGACACTTCTGACCCCATATGTGTGGTTTTATTCTCCATACCGACCAGTTCTCTGACAAGGCCTGGGTATCCTACAATTCAGTTTAATTCTGCCACTACCTGGAGTCAGTGTCAGATCTCACAAGCTAAGGGCTCAGACCCACAAGACTGTCTCTACTTCAGACACCATTCTCAAGTCTGAGCCTCCCATAATTCCTACTGACCAGCTGTAAGTCTGGGGTTCCCACAACCTCATCCCCAGGTTTGATAATTTGCTAGAATGGCTCACAGAACTCAGGGGAATATGAACTGATGTTTCTTATATAATAAAGGCTATGATAAAGGATATAAATGAACAGCCAGATGAAGAGGTATATTGGGTGAGGTCCAGAAGAGTCCCAAGCTCAGGACCTCCTGTCCCCGTGAAGTTGGGGTGGGCCACTCTGCATACATGTGAATGTGTTCATCAACCTGGAAGCTTTCTGAACTCCTTTCTATAAGGATTTTTATGGAGGCCTCATCATGTAGGCTTGATTGATTATTAACTCTGTCTCCAGCCCCTGTCCATCCACGAAGGATGAAAGTAGGGCAGAAAGTTCCAAGCTTCTAATCATGATTTGATCTTTCTGGTGACCAGCCCATACCATAAAGCTATCCAGGAGCTCTCATTACACCAAAAAGCACTTCCATCATGCAGGAAATTCCAAGGCATTTAGGAGCTTCTTATATATTTCTTCCCATTGATTTCACCAGAAGGATTTGATTGAGTTAGGCCCATGATCTGTGGGCCATGAAAATACCAGTTGGGACCTTGTCTACCCCCATTGAGAAGACATGTTTTCATTAATAAAGTCTCAGTGTTGTCATGAAGGAGTCCAAGTGTTTAGCTACCACAGCAAAATAGAAGTGTGGTTAACCAATTGGCTTTGTATTCCTTCCATTTGATGACCATCAAACACAGATGCAGATGTTGTAAGTGTAAAATGAAGCCATGTGTTTAAGAAGGACATTGGGTGCCTAATATGTGGTCCAGTGAAAACACTGTCAGCCGACTTGTGGGGAGGGGGGACTGTGGTTTGGGGAAAACAATCTTACTACATCTGTTGATATGTAGTTACCCTCTTGCCCACAAAAAGTGTCCCAGAGCTTGTAATTGACCCAGTGAACTTTGTTAAATGAACAAACACAAAATCCTAGAGGAAGTTAAGTCAGTTCCTGCCTCCAGGCTTCCATTAATTGCCTCCCAAAATGACAGAGTTGGAGAGGATTAGGGTAGGGTTTTGGAGGGAAAGTTGGACAGACTGTGCCCCCACATCCCCCACAACATGGCTAATCTCATCTCCACGTACCACATGAACACTCAGGCCTTGCTGCCGCCCCTCATTCCTCTAGCTGCAGGCCTTTATCCTTTCATCTCCTCTCCCACCTGTAGATGAAGGAGACGCCATAACTTCCTCTGCAGTTAACAATCTCCAGCCTCCTCCCTTCTTGTGAAAATCTTCCCAGACTTGGGAGTGTTCAGCAGTGGACTGGAGAGATCAGCTTGCACCCTGACCCATTTGGGCTCTGGGTTTCAGGAAATAACAAGCTGTGGTTCATGAAGAGGAGGAAGGGAGGAAGGACTTTGGATGAGGGGACTGGGTGGTCTTCTACTCTTCTGCATCTTGTTTTAGTGTATTTTTAAAAATTAAACATCTATCTCTCACTGTGAGAATTAATCTCCTACTCAGCTTTCCTTAATAAATCTATATATGTGATTCTTGTTTCTCTATAATAACTTAACTTTTGGACCTCAGGAAGGATATCTGCTGCCTTCTCAACTTCAAATTCTATTACTAAGTCCTCTCTCTCTCAGTGTGGGAGACATCAGGTCCAAATGCCCTTGTCCTTAATCCCAGAGTTTTCTTCCTCTGACAGCAAGCAGAAGAAGGGAGTATGCCACAGAGAATGTAGATTGGGAGACCCCAATTCCTCCATGGATTGGGGTGCATGAACTTCTAAGGTTGTAAGTGTTTATGGGCATTTTGTAACCTTATCAGATTTCTGAAGAGGTCTGTTCTCCAAAGGGTAGAAACACTTCCATAGGCAGTCTTAGCAAATTGAAAAATCAGCTTTGACTCATTGAATTCAGTCAGTTTTGACAGGCGAAAGAGTTGACTTCAATTCTTTAAGGAGGAGGGTAGACAAGTTAATTGACAAATCTTATCTCAACAAAGATTCCCACTGAAAAATTTATACACACACACACACACACACCCCACATGCACACACAGTTGCAACTTTCTTTTCTCTAGTTTCTTACTCTCTGTTTTGATAATAATAATACTGTCATCATTGTAATCATTACAATTACTATACCCTACATTTGTTTAGCACTGTAGAGTTTGCAAAACACTCTTTAGTGTATAATCTTATTTAATCTTCCCAACAATTCTCTATGTAGGTATTGTTATTATGGCCAGCACTTGTGGTTGAGAAAACTGAAGCTTTGAGAGGCTGAATTACACCTTTGGTAATCATAGTCAAGTCTTCGGCCCAGAGCTTCTGAAATTAGGTTCAGACCTCTAAAATTTATAGCTATGAAACCACTTGGCTATTTATTGCACATTAACCTTTTGAGAAGAAAGGATATGGGGCATTTGAGAGAGGGCTGAGCATCCTTTAACTCAGACCCAGTGGCTCTGCACATAACTCTTGCTTGGTATAGGGTCTGTTAAAGGTATACCAGAAAACCATATTCTTTTCCTTGCAAAATGTGGTGAGAGTATAGGTATGCAAACACTTTGAAAGCCAGTGTTTGTGTCTGTTAACAAATTGCTATGAGGCAAGGAGGGGACCTTACTCTAACCTAGCTCTGGCTCTGGCTCATGTGTCCAGGTTTGGGGTTGGCTGGGTTAATTCTGTTCCGAGAACATGCAGGACAGGATGGTTCAAAACCACATATCATAGATTCAGCTCAATTTAGTGCAGTTGAGCAAACATTTATGAGGTCATTTCTATGTGCTGCATTTTGTGTTAGATTTTGAGGAGAACAAAATGAAGGAGATAAAATTCCTCTCTTCAAGAGTGCTCAGCGCTTGAGATTCAGGTGGGATGGTGCTTGGGAGGAAGATAGGGAAGCAATTCAATGTTTGAATTTACTTGCTAGTTCTCATTAAAATTTCTTCACATCTAAACTAGGGAGTCTTATTCATTAGTCCTGAAGCCACATTTTGTGGCAGTGTTACTTTCTGGATAACTAGGTGTTTTGGTAAAGCTCAGACATTCATGGCTCAGTTCCTCTGGTATGGAAATCTAGGATTGAGTGGTTTTATTATAACTGAAACATAAATGGAGGATGCCTCTGACTTTCCTCCCTCAAACATCGGGGAACACCCATGAGTTCTAAGTGAATGAAGTTCCCAAACTCAGCAAGAGGAGGGGGAATTAGTACCTCTCCCCCCTCACCTAACTTTCTTGTCTGGTAAATTGCCGCTAGACTGGAAGGTTGGAAGACATTAGGACCCAGGAAGAGCCTGGCCAAGATATTTTTAAAAGCTGACCCCTCGATTTGCTGTCTTATTTGCCAATTCTTGGATTTTGCCTCTCTTCTTTTTCTTAGCAAAAATACAAGGAAGACTATGAAAATAAAGTCAAAGGCAAATGGAGTGAGACGCCTTGCTTTGAAGTTGCAAATGCCAGAATGAATGCTGATAACATCAGCACAGTAAGTGTGAAGGGATGACCACGTGTCCTTAGATTGAGAGGGTGGCTCTTTTTTCTTTTATGACTTCTTGCCACCTGCCATCTCTGAAGTGGCACCTGAACCTATCAGTCCACGTGCCTCTTCTTGGGGTCAAGACCCGTGTAGTTCCTACGGAGAAAGAAACCACACAATCCTTCCTTTTGAAAAATATTGTTTGGATCAGATTCCATTATTCTTGCTTCAGTTTTCATAGGAACAAAGTAGTTTCAAAGTGAGTACAGTTTAAAGGGACCCTTTTAAATTTATTCTTTGCCTGGGGAACCCAAACAATACATTTATGAAACTGGCCAGCTTCTTCCCTGATTTTCCTCATGGGAAACATTAAGTCCTCTTTTCTTTTCTCTTAAGTTCCCTGCCCCTATCCTTCGAGAACTCTTTCTTAGAGTTGTCTTCCAGCCTAATACAATTGCTCCAAATCTGTTAAGTCGCTAATCATTTTTGTGATGGCGCCACATTTTATCACCATAATCTGACCTGCTTCAGCCAAGCTTTGGTGACTTGTCCAAATGTCCTCTGTCCTCCATGTATGCCTCTTGCACAGTTTGTCTCCGCAGCAACTCTCCAGTATGTTTAATGTCTTACAGAGGAAATACCAGGAAGACTTTGAGAATATGAAAGACCAGATCTACTTCATGCAGACTGAAACCCCAGAGTACAAAGTGAATAAACAAGCTGGGCTGGCAGCTAGCAAGGTATGAGGAAACGCTGTCACTTGTCTGGATGGCCCTGGTGTGGGTGAATTTCCTATAACTCTTGCTTTTGTATATAATGAAGTAAAAGAGGGTTCTTTGGGAAACAACAAAAATAAAGTACTTTGGGATTATAATAGGGCTGCCAAATCTAAAAAAAATGTGCCATATGTGACCATTAACCACACTCAGCTGTCATCTTCAATATTTCTTAAAGACATTTTGATATCCAGAGGTAGAAAAGCTATAATCTCAGACAGAAGGACCCCTCAAGAGAAGACATTTAGTAGACTTATATGAATGTGGACACACAGACACTCTCCACTACCCTTATTTTTCTCATTTTCCTATAACTGGTGAGAATCTAGTCACAGACAAGATACACGAATCCATGGACATGCTCATATACTCTGTAGAGTCACTGGTAAACAGTCAGACTCCTTGGCATTCTAAAGCAGGTCAGGCACTGGAAGGAGCATAAACTTCAAAGCCAGTCAGACTTGATTCTAACCCTGGCCTTGACTCTGCTAGAGGAGTGAAAGCAGGAAAGTCACATCCTTTAGGAGACCTTTTCAGTATCCAGGTGCAAGTGACATTTTGGACCAGTAGGGTAGCAAGCAGGACAGGTGATGAGAATTATTTTGAAAGTAGAGCTGACTTGATTTGCTGATGGGTTCTATGTAGGGTATGAGAGAAAAGTTTTGGTCCAACCATCTAGACAATGGGGTTTCCCTTTATCAAGATAGGGAAGACTGTGGAAAGAGCAAATAATTTTTTTGGAGGGAACACATGCCTTCAGCCTCAGACATGTAAGATTTGAGATGCGTTTTAGGCATCCAAATGGAAATGTCAAGTGGGCAGTAAACTATATGAGTCTGGGTTATCGGGGAGCTCTCTGGGAAGGTCATGTGAACTTGGGGGTCATCAGCATGTGGATAGTAGATGGTACTAGATGACTGGAGGCCATCAAGGCAGTGAATATAGATGGAAAATGCTACAGACTCAACTCCAGAGTGCTTCCATGTGAAGACATCAGTGAGATGAAGCAGGAGCAGAGTCAGGAGACAGTGATGTTTTGGGAAGCAAGTGCAGGGAGAAGGGAGCGGTCACCCGTGTCAGAGGCTCCTGAACTCGGCCTATTAGTGCGCGGTGGTGTACGGGACAGGCAGGGTTTGGTTGAGTCTTCTTAGAAAGAGTTCATGAGTGAATAAGAGGAGAGAAACTGAAGAATATGAGTATACTCGACTGTTCCAAAATATTTTCCTGAAAAGAAAAGAAGAAAATAGGTAGTAGCTGAGTAATAAGTGGGCAAAGAGGGGATTTGTTTTTTTCCTGAGATGAGATCTTTCTTTCTTTTTTTTTCTTTTGGTATCATTAATATACACTTAACAGGAGCAACATGTGGTTACTAGACTCCCTCCATTATCAAGTCCCCCCCACATATTCCATTACAGTCACTGTCCAACAGTGCAGTAAGATGCTATAGAGTCCCTACTTGTCTTCTCTGTGCTATGCTGCCTTCCGCATGCCCACCAAGGGGATTTGTTTTTAAAGACGGGAGACAGAAACATCATGTTTCTATGCAGAAGGAAAAATTCCCGTGTAGAGGGAAAATGGAAGCAAGGGGAAAGGGGAAGCAGCTGGAGTGATGTCCTTGAGCAGGTGAAAGGGGAAAGATCTGCCACCTGAGACGGGACACAGCTTTGCCACAAGTGCTCATGGTTCATCCATAAACAGGAGAGGAGAGGGGGCTGCACACATACGCCAGAAGCAGGTGGAGGGATGGCTGGGTTTGTGGAATTTCCTTCCTGGTTGTCTCCATTTTTCAAGGAAACACATAGTTCTGTGAGATAGAGAGGTTATATCTTCCATTCCTGCAGAGCATCCCTTACGAGTCCTCCATGTGGGTTGTGTTTCAGTTGTGTATCTCCTGCCTTTGGAGACCAAGCTGATTGTGTTTGTTTTCCGAGGTTCTTAAATGTTAGCAGATTATCTAGGATTCTTTGAAGATGTCTATCTTCTATGGTTATTTTGCCTAAACATAAACGGCTGGTACGGGGTCACAGTCAGATCTAGGATCAGTTTCCTGTTCTCCTCCCCTTGGACACACTCCTAGCAGGGGCCTTAGGGCCCTCACTGAAAGCCACTGCTATAGCTGGTGTTAAAGACAGAGTGAGAAGTGCAGAAGGAAAAGGTGAGGTCGCCACCATTGGCCCAGCCCCAGCCCCTTCCTCTTCCTCCTGCGTGTACATTATATACACATGTTCTCATACACACAGTCACAGATGAGGCATAAAAGGGTAGATGATTGATGCTGCAACACAAACATGTGTTGGCAGGTAGACAGTTGGAGGTAAGAGCCGAATGAGGGCTCTGGAGCAGCAGATGTCTGGGACATGATGTGCTGTCATTATTTGTGGTCGTTCTCTCTCCCATTATTTATGTGTGTGTGTGTCTCTCTCTTTGAGGGGAGGGCTCATGTGGTCCTTGTATCTATCTGTCCCAGAGGCAGGCATACCCTGTGGATATTTCTGAATGAATAAATGAATGGGAAGAAAAGATACCCTGTGAATTTATGTAGTTTTTCTGCTGCTGTTATGAGTTACTATGAATGTTTTGTTTATAAAATGTCAAGCTGCCATTTTTCTAAAGAGAACACTGATTTGTGCAACCGTACCATAAAACCCATTATAGAGACGAGAGCAAAATTAACCTGGAGAGTTACTTTATCTCTTTATTTCACTCCTACAGGTAAAATACAAAGAAGACTATGAAAAGAAAAAAGGAAAAGCAGATTATAATGTGCTTCCTGCTTCAGAGAACCCGCTGCTCAGGCAGCTGAAGGCGGCAGGAGAGGTCTTGAGTGATGTAAGTATATTCTTGTCAAAAAGTGTTTTTTTAACCTTAGCTGCAGGAGACATGAAATTTCTCTTCCTTCTATAATGACAAAATGCAAGTGTAACTTGGCAAATATTTTAAGGTTGTGGTGTAGCAGTTTCTCTGGGCCTGTTTAACCACACAGGAAGACGTGAGTGCCCCTGAGGAGGGTGGGTGTCAGTTTGGGGCTTGTGAATTTAGTTCAATGTGCAGGAAAATCATTTGCTTAAGGTTCCAGGTGCTTGTGCTTCTGTATGGGCAAAGAGTACTTTGTGGGAGATGCACTGTGATTTTCACAGAGACAGAGGGAAATTTTGAAAGGGGACATGTGGGGAGATGAAGCTGCTTTTGAACGCTGCCCTTGTGTTCTTTGGGCTGGCTGCAGGAGAATAAAAATGTCCGGGTTTCACAACTTCTTTTCCACCTCCACCATTTCCTCCTCACATCTTGGCCCTAGAAACCATCATTTTTTGACAGCTGGACTTAAAAGGTGGCTCCCTAGGTCTTCACAGGAATTTCTATGTGTGGAATTGTTAAAGAGCCTGACTAATCCATTTGATTTAAAATAGATCAGATAAGTGGAAATTGGACCTCTCATGAAAGACTAACAGCCCAAGACCAATTTGATCATATAAACAGAGACCAAGTATGTGGTCAGTTGAGTTTTTCCCTTATGGTTACGTTGTATCAAGTTTTCTCAGTATTTGAGGATTATATGTGGCTCTCCATGTGGCTTAGTCATCATTTCTTTGTCCCTGAATTAAGTCAGCATCATAGAAATGTGTACATGTGACTGAAGAGTGTGGGTGGGGAGGCAGGTGAGAGGGGGGGGTCAGTGGGTCTGTTCAAACGGCTCTGCTGGGAAATCAGTGCAAAACTTGTCTCTTGCTTCCCCAGTGAAGGTCATCTTTATCAAACCTGCAAAAGCCCAGGTTCAAATCATACTTTGTTGATAAAGACAGCAAGACAAAAATATCAGAAACGAATAGTACCATTTACAATTTCCAAACCCCACATGAAAAGTGACTGATCGCTTAACCAATTGTGCATTTTAAAATTCGATAATTGTTTGTGGTTATTGTCAGAGCTGAAGATAAATTCTATCAGAGAAGAAGAGGTCGTAGATTCATGATTTGAGTTACTGTATATACCTGATTTTTAAGATGTACTGTCTGTGTACTAAGGGATTTTCTTCCTTGCTAGAAGAAGGAAAAGAGTGTGTATTTCTCAATGTATACTAAACTTTGTCATGAGGGTTTGTTTAAACAAAGATATCAGAAAATTCACTGTTGCTCAGAATATTCCTGTTTCATGTGGCACAACTAGTGAAGGAAGAGCATGGGATTTGGGAGATGGAGCAGAACATACCAAGAATCTCTGTGACTGAGGGCTTGGTCTGAGGCAGCATATGGAGTTCTTAATTTTTCTTAGTAAATGGTGAACACTTAGGCTCACAATAATTGCTCATAGAAAAGGCTTATCATTCATGACACTCCAGCATTTGGGTGTCAACTTTTAAGACATTCGACAGATAATCGCTTTCTTCTTTTTTTGTTTAGTGTTGGGAAGTATGACTGTTATTTATAATCAGCGTGGGAGAGACAGGAATCTATTTAACTGATTTTTGTTCTTCGACAGAAACTGTACAAGGAAAACTATGAAAAGACAAAGGCAAAGAGCATAAATTACTGCGAGACCCCCAAATTTCAGCTTGATACAGTTCTGCAGAATTTCACTAGTGATGTAAGCAATCCTGCACTCACCTCTCTGTTAGAGAAAAGAAACATCATTTCCCCCATAAATAACTGAAATGTATCTTGTCTTTCAGACTAAATACAAAGACGCCTATGTAAAGGACATTTTGGGACATTACGTAGGCAGCCCTGAGGATCCATATCATGCACACTGCATGAAAATTGCAGCTCAAAACAGTGACGTAAGTTCCAAGACAATTGTTTAACTTTCCAAATTACACATTTCTGTGGCATGAATAAAATGGTTGCCTCCTAATGCCTGATTAATTTTCTTCACAGAAAAACTACAAAGCAGAATATGAAGAGGACAGAGGCAGAGGCTTCTTCCCCCAGACCATAACTCAAGAATATGAAGCCATGAAGAAACTAGATAAGTGCAAAGACGTAAGTCTGTGGTATGGATTTTGAATGTTACTCCCACTGTAGCCTCTAGTGGTCAAGAGATGTTTAAAATCTTGACACATTCATAAGTAAATGCAGGCAAGGAAATTGTGAAAAACCAGATTTATTTTATACAACATTTATAGACATACTATTTTCCCTTGTTGTCATTTGTACATTTCAAGAGCTAATTCTAATTCATTTTCCCAAAGAAGAGTTATTGGTAATCCGAAGATACAGGCATGTTTCTTGTATATAGGTGTAAGAGCATCTCTCTAGGAGATGCAAACTGATTAGAAAAAAATGTTTTATTAACTACAAGTTTGTTTTTTTTTACCCTTTGGAGGCTTGGGGTTCCGCTTGTTTGACATACAGGCCATCTTGGGTGTGGTAAGTGATCCTGTGAAAACCGAGTCCCCTTTTCCTCCACAGCATGCCTACAAAGTCCATCCAGATAAGACAAAATTCACTCAAGTTACTGACTCTCCTGTTCTGGTGCAGGCCCAAGTCAATTCCAAGCAACTGAGCGATGTAAGTTTCTCTTAAATATCCACGAAATTCGGTTCTGAGGGATAACATATAACTCTATACATAAACTCCAGTGACTCGTCACATTTACAAAAAAGACTGTAAGTTTTAGCAAGTTTAACTTGTATATATTTGTAATCACCTAAAATATTTCCCTATTTAGCTGCCTTTGATCTTCTTGGATGGATAAAAAGTATAATAAAATGGCTCTATAAGGAAAGCTAATGTAGATCGATGTACTGGAGAGAACATGAGTTCCTGAGTGAGACAAAACTGAATCGGATTTCAGCTCTGTCATCCATGACCTGGAAGCCCATGCAGATTATTTAACTGTTCTTTGTCTCATGTTTCCCTTCTATAATTTGTGGTTATTTTGAAGGTTAAGTGAAAGTAGATACGGATATAGTACACACCCTGGCCCACCGGAGGTATTCAACACATAGGATTTCTGTCCCTCAATCTTTTTTTGGGAAATGGAGTCTTTGAGAGAAATTGTTTTCATATGAATTTTAAGTATAAATTTCCAAGCTCATGTTGAACTAAAAAAACAAAACAAAACAAAAAACAACAAAAGTAACCTCTGCAGATTTATGGCCAAATGGGTGCTTCAATTAGAATAGCAACACACCATAATGTATGTAAGGGGACATAATAGGGTTTGTTAGAAAAGGATCTCTGGAAAGTGAGCATTGACAGTGAAAAGGAAGAAAGCCCCGTTTCCTCAGAATCTACAGGGCCGATTGTGATATGCCTGGGAAAGGCGGCATATTCATGAAAGAGCCACCTCCTTCGTTAGGGCCCCACCACGGTGACGGGTGTGGTGACAGCTCTCCCCCGTCCAGTGCACAGGTCGTCAACAATGCAGGGTCACCTATCTTTGCTCTGGCTTGCTCTTTTGATCTTAACAACTTTGTCAGTTGTCATCTAACAAATTGTATTTAACACTTTATTTTATGAAACCTTCCACACAAGCTTTTTTTGCATTTGGAACAATTCTTCAGGATGAATGGGCTCACTCTCTCCCTTCCCTTTCCCCACAATCCTTCTCTCTCTCAGCTCAATTACAAAGCAAAACATGAAAATGAAAAGTTCAAGTGCCACATACCTCCGGATACCCCTGCCTTCATCCAGCACAGAGTCAACGCGTATAACCTGAGTGACGTAAGTTCCTCTCCCACTATACCATATGATATGCTGACAACCTGTGCTTTTATTTTTGAATTGCTTCACTGAATAAACATTTCCGTGTTAGAGATGGGAAGAACATCTAACATTTGCATCATGCTCCTATGCCTCTACCCATGTGTCTTTGAATTCACCTTATAAAATGTGTGTAGCAGTCTTGTAAGTAGCTTCATACAATTAGACAATCTTAATACATTTTAACCAACCCTCAAAATGTCACAGCTCATGTATGTTTAATTGCAAAATTGCAAATCACAGTGTTAGATCTTTTAGTCATATATTCATTTATATTAAACTATATTAATTTTCTTTCAGGATCTGAATTTTTTAAGATGCAATTTCAATTTACTTTTCACTTACAATGTCCATATTTCACACCAATGATATGTATTTCCATATGTAGAGAACTTGTACTAACAAGGATATAGGCTATTCAAAAACAGAGGTGAAGTATCCACTCTCTTTCATTTGCAGGTTTAATGATAAAGGAAAGACAAATTATCATTGGGAAGGGGAGTCTCAACTTCTTCAAAAGTTTTATAAGTGCAAACATTATACAGCATCACTGAGTATTGTAATGATCCATGAACTAACCTTTGCAGAGGACTTAGAGATCAAATGAAGTGACTCCTTTGGATCATAAAAAATAAACTATAAAATATTTGTGCCACTCCAAACATATTCAGTGTTGGAAATCAAATGTTAGTATGATAACTAAAATGCAGTTACTTTAATGAAAAATTCTACTGGAGAGTAGAGAAGCTTGCTCTTAGAAATTAGAAGCCTTAGCTTGGGAATGATTTAAATATACATGATTTCTTATCAATGAAAATAGTCAGTGTGTTTTGTATTAAGAAAAGGTATTGAGTTACTCAAGTATTTAAAATGTGGTAATATTTATATCATTTTTGACAATTTCTTGGTTAAAATTTTCCATCCAGAATGTTTATAAGCAAGACTGGGAGAAGGACAAGGCCAAGAAGTTTGACATCAAAGTGGACGCCATTCCCTTGCTGGCAGCCAAAGCCAACAGCAGGATCGCTAGTGATGTGAGTGTGGCCCGGGCACCTGGCAGGGGTCTCTGGGTTGTTTCCTGTTGGGTGGGATCTGGCACGTGTGGTGTCTTTGCAGGTGATGTACAAGAAAGACTATGAGAAAAGCAAAGGGAAAATGATCGGAGCCCTCAGCATTAATGACGATCCCAAGATGCTGCACTCTTTGAAGACAGCCAGAAACCAGAGCGATGTGAGTGCCTCTGTAAACCTTGTGTTGCTTTCAGCTGTGGCTGCACATAGTGTTTAATAGAAGCGTGGATGGGATGTTAGCCTAAATGAAAGCTCTGGCTCAGGATGACAAGTCACACATGAAAGCCCAGGGGTAAAGGGTGACTAGCTTCCTCATTCCTAGGTTTCCCCACATCTGAGACTCCAGTGAATACTGTGAAAGTTCCCTAAATCTCCCTAATGCCCTCTGTTTGTTAGGGGGAAAGTATACTGGACTATCTTTGGCTTTATTGTTTTTCCTAGAAATGGGCTCAGTATCTCAGCAGGTATAAACATGCACAGCTGCTGAGAATACTATAAACATTCCTTCCATGCTGTGACCTAAGGTCCTTTGCAAAAATATGTACAAAAATTAAAAGTCAAGAAATAAGAAAATCAGGCTATAGACCAAGTAGGAAAAACCAGTCGGGAAATAGCCTCAAAAGCACAGTATGCCATCGTAAAGATTTTATAAAATATTGAACTCACTTTAAAGGGTTTAAAGTACTTATTAAAGATACAATAAGTCTCTACAAATATTGCTTCTCTAATTCATAGCAAAAAAAAAATAGTCCCTTCTCAGGATCATTCATAAATAATCACGTGTTTATTGAGTAAATATTTGGATTTCCATATAGAAGAATTACAGAGAATGTGAAAAAATATCTGGTGCATGAAATAAAAAGAAAAACTCCTCTTTTCCTGTGCTATTGCTCTAAAGTGAACTATTAGGTCTTCATGATATAAAGCCAGCTTCCAGAGCTGTTGTAACTGTGCACTCCTCTCGTGCTGAGCTGAACGCTTTTCTAGGACTACGTGCGCCTGAGTGTCTGAGCTCCACCTTATATACCTTTACCTCAGTCATCATGAACTGTTAACAATTTTCATTTTCCTTCAAACATATTTGCATGAGAAGAATTACTTTAAGACGAGAACCTTAAGCATTTGGTGTGCTGATTTATTCTGCTGTGCCACATTAGGAGAAATAATGTAAACATACCTGTGGTTATTAGCAGACTGCAGGATACAAGACATGAGCTTCTGCCATGTCCATCTGTTGCTTTGCTTTGTAGAAAATAAATGGTAAGAAAGGAAATTTTTTTGATTAAAGTATAGCAATGATGTGAATGGCTTTTATACCATCACATGTATTTGTCCCTTATTGTTTTGATTTTCTTTTTCCCCTGACAGAGATTATACAAGGAAAACTATGAGAAGACAAAGGCAAAGAGCATGAATTACTGCGAGACCCCTAAGTACCAGCTGGATACTGAGCTGAAGAACTTTAGTGAGGTTCGAAAAGCCACGGTTCCTCTGGGTTTGAGGGCTTGCTGCTGCTTGACAAATGACTGTCAATGTGAGTTACATACATCTTCTTTTTCAGGCTAGGTATAAAGATTGGTATGTACAGAATATGCTGGGACATTATGTAGGCAGCCCTGAGGACCCATATCAAGCACACTGCATGAGAGTTTCAGCTCAAAACAATGACGTAAGTTTGAAGACTGTTGTTCAGGCTTCTCTGTGACATTGTTTGGGGACAACACCAATCACGATCTACTTTTGTTCTCCCTCATTATAGAAAAATTACAAAGCAGAATATGAAGAAGATAAAGGGAAATGCTATTTCCCTCAGACAATAACACAGGAATATGAAGCAATCAAGAAGCTGGACCAGTGTAAAGATGTAAGTCATGGGCCCTGAATTCTTGGAACTGGGTTTGGGATTCTGGTGCCATCTAGTGGTAAATTTAGCAGAGCTTACAATCCCCCATCTAATGGTTAACAAGATGTATTACATTTAAAATTGTGGCTTTTGGGTGGAATTGGGAGATGCAAAAATTACTGTGAAGAAGCCTATTTGTCACCAGATAGTTTCAGGTTTAATGAATCTTTACTTCCACCAGGTCATGTTCATTTATAAACATGGCTTCAGGGGAAAGGGAGAACATGAACAACTGAGAGAGAGGTGTTCATTCACTCAACAAATTACATGAGGGATAGTTGTCCCAGACACTGTCCTCGGTGCTGGGAAAGAAGAGGGCACAAGGTGGTGTGCCCCTTGGGGAGTGTGGAGGGAGGGACAGACAATAAGCAAAGAGCACAGAAACAAGAAATATCTCAGCAATGATAAGACAACTAATGTCGAATGATGCTACGGAAGCAAATAGGATACCGTGGGACAGAGACACTGGAAGGGCGCTGTAGATTAGATGGTCAAAGAAGGGCTAAGGCCAGCATGTGCAGCCATGTCAGGATCAAAGTCAGGGCAGCAGGAAGGAGAACCCAGGTAATAACTAGCTGGCACTTAGAGCATTGAAAGGGTGAGGTGTCTGAAGCATACTGGAGAGGGGCACAGTAGTATGAGAGGAAATGGTAGGAGATAAAGGAGGAGTCGATACCCTAGGGTGGGGCTCGTAAGCCAAGATACAGTTTAGACTGAATACCAAGTCCCACGGAGAGGAGAGCCTTTGGGGAGCGTCAGCAGATGGAAGTTTGATGTCCTTGCTGGTTGGCAGCTGGGAGACCGTTTTAGAGGCAACCTCAGGAGAGAGAGTTGGAGAGAGAGGAAGGGAGAGCTATCAACCAAGTTTTCAGGTAATAAGGGGACTTCATTTTGTACTGAAAATTTTTTATGTGTTAGGTACAAGAATATACATGTATTATGAATATCATTTCATTTTATCCACTAAGGTTGTCTTTTCACTACCTGATATCTTTCCTATATTCTCTCTCCTAGCATACCTACAAAGTTCATCCAGACAAGACCAAATTCACTCCTGTCACCGATACACCTGTACTGTTGCAAGCACAGAGGAACACGAAACAGCTCAGCGATGTAAGTGCCTTGACTTATGCAAGACTGGGTGGCCTAGAATACTTTGCTCATTTGAAACATAGGCATTAAATGGGCTCATCTATCATCCCAACGGTGTCATTTTTTAAATATTTGTTTAATAAAGTGCAAATGAAGCCACTAGAGGGAATTGTATCCTCAGAACAAATGGTGATATGCAATGACAAAAATAGCTAATATTTCTTAAATGAAGCACCAACTTTTTGTGGGACTTTGCCCATTAGGGTCTCTACATGCCAAAATAATGCACACTAAAACATTTGACAACTTAAATAGACACCACCAACAGAAGCATCCACTTGGGTAGGTGATAAGATGAGCATTTTCCCATTCTTGAGTTTGCCAACAAAGACTTTACAAAAAGACAAAAAGCAAAGAAGCAAGAAGGACATCAGGCAGTGGTAGGAAGTGCACTGTAGGGAGATGATCGGAATTAAAATAGGGTGTCATGAGAGTGACTGGGTGGGCACCTTAGAGTGGGTGGTCAAGGAAGATCTGAAGGAGAATGGTCCAGCTGTGCCGAGATCAGGGAAGAGCAGCAGTGCTTCCCAAACATTCACGGTCATGTGGATCACCCAGTGCCCCTGTTGAAATCCAGATTCTAATTCAGCAGGTCTGTCAGGACCCTGTATTCTGACTCTGATGAGCTCCTAAGTGACGCTACTGCTCTGATCTGTAGGCGGCTCTCAGAGGAGCAAAGAGCTAACATGACTCACAGTAGCATATCCTTCTCAAGACAAGAAAACAAAATATACCCTTAGTCCTACTATAAAACATGTTGTAGTAACACAAATCGGCTTACGTGCAATTGGTAAAGAAAGCAGTGTTATCAGTATAACCCAGGATTCATGTTAGTTTATATACAACTTTGCTTGGCATATTAATATTTTGCCAAGAAAGAATGTCTAAACACCAAGGTCACTGACCCACCTGAATGTGGCAAGCTGCAGAATAGTATGGTGCTGTGTGCGGTGCGCAGTCACCATATGCCCTTCCTGTTGACCTGGCCTCACCATGGGCTCTGTTTTGGAAGGTGCTTATTGGACAATACTCAATCTGTGCTTTTTCTTCCAGGTCCAAAAATCAACAGCCTCATTCCTCTTTACGCTCCGTTCCTTCCGCCTCATGTCACCTTAAAAAGTTAAATAAAGTACCATATTTTGTATTTTTAGTAAGAATTTGCATATCTTTTTAATCGTGCTGACAATATATTCGTAATTATCATTGTTTTTGTTACTGCTCTGATGACAGAATTTCATACTTTTGACTGTTCATGTTCTCGAGGCACAGCCTACATGATTAGATCAGACTATGAGTTTCCCATACATACACTGTGAAGCATTTCCAAAATGAGGCCCCAAAGTTTGGTTAACACCAGATGCTGAAAGGGGGAGTGAGATTCTGGGCTCTGGGCTGTACTTTGTCTGAATCAACTATCTCTGAGGCGTTTTTGTAAAAGGGGTGGCAATAACTCAGCTATATACTCTCCTACATAAATTCAAGGAAGTTCTGACCCTGAGCTGTTTGGATGTCTTCTACTTTTCTTTTTCAGCTGAATTACAAAGCAAAACATGAAGGTGAGAAGTTCAAATGCAATGTTCCAGCAGATGCTCCACAATTTATCCAACACAGAGTCAACGCTTATAACCTGAGTGATGTAAGTACCAAAGCCTTTCTGTGTGCATGCAGAGGGAGATGTTATGGGTATTTTTAAAAGACCAGATTAAGAGTTATGCCAAAAAACAATTATTAAGTATGTCAGAGAGTATAGTGGAGCTTTTAAGGCCTAAATACCCTTAAGACTCTTAGCTATAAGATTCCATACTCTCTGTTACCTTTAGAGCTATTGTCTCAATTACCCCTCTACTAATCTCTATAATTTTGCAAGATGTCTCATGAAAATGTTACACTTCACCTTGTCCAAGAGGTTGTCATTTTATATTTTCCTTTGTACTGTGCTATCCTGATGTCTATAGAACATTATAAAGACTGTATCATACTTATTTGGTGTTGGGGGAATAAGCCAGATGATAAGTAAATGAATAGATATATATAGCCATTGCAATTAATGGTATTTATAGGGGAAATAAATCTATATTATAAATTTTCATTCTGCATTTATTTTTTACTGGATGAATCTATGTTAGATGTTCTTACAATTCCTTGCTGAAATTTTCTGTCCAGAATGTTTATAAGCAAGACTGGGAGAAGGACAAGCCCAAGAAGTTCAACATCAAAGTGGACGCCATTCCCCTGCTGGCAGCCAAAGCCAACAGCAGGATCGCTAGCGATGTGAGTGTGGCCGGGCACCTGGGTGGGGGCCTCTGGGATGTTTCCTGTTGGGTGGTATCTGGCACGTGTGGTGTCTTTGTAGGTGATGTACAAGAAAGACTACGAGAAAAGCAAAGGGAAAATGATCGGAGCCCTCAGCATTAATGACGATCCCAAGATGCTGCACTCTTTGAAGACAGCCAGAAACCAGAGCGATGTGAGTGCCTCTGTAAACCTTGTGTTGCTTTCAGCTGTGGCTGCACATAGTGTTTAATAGAAGCGTGGATGGGATGTTAGCCTAAATGAAAGTTCTGGCTCAGGATGACAAATCACACATGAAAGCCCAGTGATAAAGGGTGACTGCTTCCTCANGAGAAAAGCAAAGGGAAAATGATCGGAGCCCTCAGCATTAATGACGATCCCAAGATGCTGCACTCTTTGAAGACAGCCAGAAACCAGAGCGATGTGAGTGCCTCTGTAAATCTGTCTTCTTTTCAAGATGATGTCCCGGTTAATGTGCCCAAGGGCAGTAGCATGTAAAAGGGTTGCTGATACATGGGCTCACTGTGGTGCACAACAGATTGCTGTGGAGAAATTAAGAAGTAAACAGATTCCCATATTCTTTCAATTCTCAATGTTTGAGTAGGGAAATTGGTGATTTTTACTTGATGTCCATTTCACTTTGAAAAATGTATGTGTTAATATTTGAGGGTCTTTCAATTATAATTCTCAAAAATTCTTGGAGAACATCATAGCTATTTTCATATTTTCTTCTAATTGAAAACTAACTTTTAAAATTATGGTTTTAAAAGTGTCTTTTATCTTGAAGGAAAATCATGAGTCACAGGTGAAAATCTTAGTATAGCTATCACTGTTCTTTATTGACTTCAGTAAGTGGTATGGCATAGGTCCAAGAAAAAATGTTCTATTGATTATTGGCCCCTCTGAGAATCTCATCAAAGATTTTGACCATCCATCTAGATAAATGAGCTTTTTCTCATGCCTCTTACCTGAATTTCAGGGAACTTACGGAATCCCTAACATTTATATATGTACTATCTGTCACCTTTGGGTAACACTTTTACCATAGATAAGAAAACATCAACTATTACAAATTGCAGTATACACTCTGTTTAAGAAATGCTTAGAGAATCCCTCAAGAGTGGTGAGAATGTTCAATGTTTATGTTCAACATATTAGCTTTTCATGATTAAAGAAAAGTCTGTATTATTTTAACCATGTATTCATTTAGTGTTCTCTATATATACCTACTTAAACATTTTGCATTTACTATATAATCATACAGCACTTTCAAGCCTCCTATTCAGTAATTTTGTCTAGTAACTTCACAGTGAATTATGTCAATATACAGTGCTACACATATCCTACTGTTTCATTAATCCTTATCCCTTCTCAACTCAAAAGGTTACATAGCTCTCTGTTAACAGCACTTGTGTCTTTACATTTTGTTTTTCATCTTATCACAGAGCCCATTAGAACATTAGGCACATAATAAGTGTTCCATAAATACTTGTTAGATAATTGACGTTGGCAACCAAAAGAGATAGTAATGTGTCATTCTCATAATATCCAGACTAAATGCTAAGCTGCAGATAAAGAGTATGCATAGCTTTTACAAAGAATCTTTTAAAGCCATTTGGATCTCTGACAACATTTTATATGTGTAGGTAAGTGTGAACTGGTATGAACATGAACAAGAGTCAAAACAATTTAGTCAAAAATACTTCCTTACACCAACAGCTGTTGTAACATTGCTCTATCAGCTTATTTCAATGAAGACAAACTTTTTTTTCAGTCTTATTGCATACCATCAGAAAGTTTCCATATTTTACATTCATAAACCAGAGTCTAGATTTTGCAATGAAGGGATAAGTTTATTCAGTGAAAGTGACTATCCACCAAAAAAAAAAAAAGAAGAACACCTTTCCCCAAAAAGCTAAGAGATCAGATCATTTGCAAAAGGAATTTCTATAGAAGGTTTATAAGGCACATCCTGTGCTTGCTAGCTTGGGTCACTGTCTTAATGCTTTTGTGATTATGGGGGATACAATGGGTTTAGAATTTTCCTAAAGGCACTGGATCAGAGTTTTTCTGTCTGTCGGACCTGATGAAGCTGGGACTTTGACCTAATTAGCACCCTGTCTAACCATTCCAGAAAACCAGCCAATGAAAGGGCCTTCTGAGGCCCAGTCAGAAGATTTGGTTTATGAGAACATTGTAATAAAGGCCAAGGTTACTTTAATGGCTCAGTTTCACAGTCTTTTCTCCTTTGGGTTCTTGTAACTGCTGTGACCTGAAGTATCTTTCAAATTGTTACCAAAATTAAATGTGGTATGAAAAAACCTTTGGGATTCTCAGTCATAAGTAGAATAGTCAAGTTGAAAAATCAGTGCTATCCACTTAGAGAAGCCAAGAAGTCAAGGGTGCAGCTTTGTGTATGAAGTAGTCAGTTTATAAAATCCGAAGTATGAGATGATTGTCAAGTGATTTTTTTCAATTAAAAAAATGCTTCTTTGCTGGAAAATTCTTCAAAGGTTAGATTACCTTAGTAGAAATAATGCTTGCTAGTATTTCTTGAAAACCCGTTTTAAAATAAAATAATTACCTGGCTGAAGCAGGGGCTGTGAACCATTCCTAATGTCTGACAGTTGCTCTTTGATTTACAAAGAGATTTGAGAATATCTGTCCTTTTTTTGGGGAGGGCGTGCGGGGTTTCAATGATGTTTAACATATGAACAAATTTTAGGAGAAAATAGCTATTCAGATGTTCAGATCTGTGTCTCTAACTCAAATTTATCATTTACAAGGGATCTCTGTGCTTTTCTGGAAATCCATCGATTATTTGTGGTAATATATGAGCATTTCCTGTTCACAGCGTGAATATCGCAAAGACTATGAAAAGTCGAAAACTATCTACACAGCACCTCTTGATATGCTCCAAGTCACTCAAGCTAAGAAATCTCAGGCAATTGCCAGTGATGTGGATTATAAGCACCTCTTACACAATTACAGCTACCCGCCTGATAGCATCAACGTGGACCTCGCCAAGAAGGCTTACGCACTGCAGAGTGATGTGAGTAATCAGAGTTTTTTCCGTTCCCTCTATTTTGAGGTGGAAACTGAAAAGGATTTTTAAGTTGAGTGATGGTTTTGGCAATTCTCAGAGGCGTCTGTGTTGTCTTCTTTATGTAGCAAGTACGTAATAGGAACACGACCCGTGTGGTTTTATAAGAGCATGTCTTTCAGAGGTGAAGAGGCCTGGGTCTAGCATGCATCCCATCACTATATCCTTTTGGGAAAGCTATCAACCTTGCTGAGTTTAGAGTCTTCCTTACAAAATTTGAATAAAATAAAATAATTGTTTGAGAATTTAAATGCATGCAAAATACTTAGCATGGTACCAGGCTTTGGTAAAAACTCTATAAACATTCACATAATGATCAGATTCATCATTATCATTAACTTTTTACATAGATTGCTATCTTAAAATATATCATTTTACAGCACCAAATGATATATCATTTGATCAATGTCATCTTATGATATTTTATAATAGTCACTGTTTTTATTCCCCTGCAGATCAAAACTTCTTTAGGTAATCTCATTTGAGCTACACAATTAAACACTTTATCCTAACAATTCTGTAATTTTTAACGTGATAAAATACACATAAAGAATTTCCCATCTTTACCATTTTTAAATGGTTTAGTAGCAATTAGTATATTCACCTTGTTGTGCAACCAATCTCCAGAACTTTTTCATCTTGCAAAATTGGAACTCTGTTTCTGTTAAACAACTTCTCATTTACCCACCTCTCTTCAGCTCTTGGCAACCACCCTTCTACTTTCTGTTTCTGAGTGGACTACTCTGGAGACCTCAAATATGTGGAATCAGACAGTATTTGTCTTTTTGTTATTGGCTTATTTCATTTAGTGTAGCATCCTTGGCGTTCATCCATGTTGTAGCATGTATCAAGATTTCCTTCCTTTTTGAGTCTGAATAGTATTCCATTGTATGTATTTATCACATTGAGACACCGTATCTCTAATAAACATCTTTGAGACCCTGCTTTCAGTTCTCCTGAGTATATACTCAGAAGTGGAATTGCTAGATAAAGTGATCATTCTTTTAAGTGTTTGAAGAACCACCAGACTATTTTCCGTAGCAGCTACATAATTTTATATTCCCAACACTAACAACTGTCTTTTATATGTTATCTTATTTACTTTTGCTATGTTTCTTCCTCCCAAATAGATTGTAAACCTCTCAAAAGCTAGAATCAAACGGTTACCTCATTTTTCATTCCAATTAAAAGACGTATACGGAGAACAATGATTTGAAATTTATATCTAAAGTAGGTTTTAGGTACCACCCATGGCCAGAAACAAGAGTAATTTATTATTATTATATATAATAGCATCAAGTACCTGTACCCAAAATTGGACCAATTCCAAATGATAACAGCTCTCTGTAGGAAAATAAACAAGTGCAACTATTTTAAACTGCATTGTTAGCCAATGTAGAAACACTCCTAAGCTGACCATTATATAAGTTTGCAATGTGTGCAAACACTTAGTACAAATCACTACTATCAAGTTTTATCTACTCAGAAAATGAGCAAAATTATCCACCTTCAACATGGCCTTCAGTCCTAATTTGACCACAGAAACATAATACAGAGTTTCAGGAAACAAACATCTCATATTGAATTATCTAAATATAACAATTTCATTTATTCTTTGAAATACATCTTTGAATGTAGAATTTGTTCTGATTGGAATTAGAGTTCCACATACTTCCATTCAGTTGGACATAAGAATGAAATGGAACATAAGCCAACTAGAAGAACAGCAAAAACCTAAAGGCTGCTAAAATCTCCTACCTAGGAAATGTTTAAGATAACCTTCATGTACGGAGTAAGGAAGCTGGCCAGAAATCTTAAAAAACACTGTTGTAGACGAAATGTTAATGATTTGACTAATAAGGATGATGCTGAACAGAGAAACATACCCTTTCTCTTGGCTTTAGGTTGAATACAAAGCTGACTACAACAGCTGGATGAAAGGTTGTGGCTGGGTGCCTTTTGGGTCCTTAGAAATGGAAAAGGCAAAGCGAGCCTCAGACATCCTGAATGAGGTAAGGCCATCTTACGAGTCACTGAGAGATTTGGGAAGGTGTCATGTTAAAACCCCTCAAACCAAGGGAAGTGTCTTCTTTCCTGCTTCCCTCTCTAGTTCTTGTTGCTGAAGAAAAAAACTCACCATGTGCATGAATTATCCAGGTAGATAAGCATACCCCCTTTACATCACCAAAATTATTTTCATTAACCATTCATGATAAAAATATTTTTAACAACTTCATCAAGGTAAATTTTCCATGCCATAAAATTCACTTATTTTACATTTACACCTGGACAAGTTTTAGTAAATTCACATAGTTGTATAGCCATAACCACAATTGAATTTTAAAATGCTGTTAGTATTCCAAAAAATTTCCTTGAAAAATTCCTGCTTCCATCTTTGAATGGGGCAACCACTGTTCTGCTTTCTGTCTCTATAGTTTTGCTTTTCTAGAAATTTATCTCAGGTGAGGATTCATTCTTTCACTTAGCATTGTATTTTTGAATTTGAATTTGTTAGCCAAGGTAGAAACATTCATCCATAGTTCTACATGGGTATGCAATTCATTCCCTTTTATTATTGGTAGTATTTCTTTGTAGGGCTACATCTCATTTTGATTGCCCAGTGGACACGTGGATTTTTCTTCTGATTTTTGGTGGTTTGAATAATGCATATAATGAACATTATAAAGGTTTTCTTTAAATTAATATACCCTGATTCTGTAACATCTTTCTATGTTGACAGCAACACTAGTTGGGGTGAGGATTTAATAATGTGAGTAACTGGTAAACCACTGTGTTGTAAATTTGAAACTAATATAAGGTTGTATATCAACTATACTTCAATTTAAATTAAGAAAAAAATAATAAAGTATAAAAGAAAAATGTTTAAAAAAGTAAAGTGTCATATTCTTGGTAATTTTGGAATAGTATATACTTTGTTATTTAGTCTAAGAAAAAACAATGACGATCTTGCGCTCTTAAAGCAGCCAGGTTATCTGTCCCTTCTCTGCTAACAGCAGAACATTGCCACTGCTGTCAGGTGAAGCCGTCATCAAGGAGATGAGCCTGTGTAAAGAAGGGGCAGAGGTGCTGAGTGAGGGCTGTCTTCATTCCCAAGTTTCTGTTGTTCTTGTTTTGTTCGCTTTTCTGAAAACCATTTTATATACTCAGATTTTTCAGAAAAAGCTCCTCAGGGTTGGTGGTTTTCAGAAGTCTGAAGCTGAAAGAGCAATGTTCTTATGTGCAGAGAAGGAAGGGGGTGTAAAACGCATAAAGGAAGAGGACTGGGAGAATAAGTGGAGAACATAGAGAAATAAGGGCAGCTAGGAGTTGCCAGCGCCCGATCGGACCACCTTTCAGTGTCCTCTCTCCTGCCTCTAGTGACGGCCTATGTGCTAACCACAGCAAGGTTTGCAGAGCACAAGTCCTCTTCCTCTTATTAACAATCCGTAGCTTTTGCCCTAATTCCTCACTTCCTCCTCCCGCCATGGAGAGCTTCTTTACTTGGGTTGCTGATGGAGTGACAGGGAGAAAGGTATCCCTGAGAACTTGTTAGTGTCGTGTAAAGACACCCCAAATTCCCTTGCATGCTTTCCAGGAAATCCTTTAGAAAACTTTGTGATATCTCTAGATTCTGCTCAGCTGAGAGTGCCCTTTTTCACGTCATAAGCAAGAAATTAGAGAATAAAATCTGGCTTCTGAAAATTGTGTGGTCTGTACTGCCCCAAACAATCCAAAATGAAACTGATTTTTTAAGGACTGGCATTTGAATTGTATTCATCTTATTCCCCAAGACAACCAGGAATCTAGTATTTTTACATCTTAGAATCAGGAAAAATCTTTGTCCTTTCAAAATAAATTCCAAGGATTTTTATATATTAGCCTTTAGTGAAGGTAATATTATTGTCTTCTTGTTTTTATTTTCTTATTTGTTTTTGCTGGTGACAAATTTGTCCATTTCTTTTTTCATTGAAGTATAGTTGACATCACATTATAATAGTTTCAGGCACACAACTGAGTGATTTGGCTTTTAAATACATTACAAAATGCTCACCATGGTAAGTGTAGCTACCATCTGTCACCATACCAAGTTATTACAATATTATTGACTGTTCCCCATGCTCTTTCATCTTTTTTTCCATGCTTTTCTCTTTTTAATTCACTAAACAGAAAAAATATCGCCAACATCCAGACACTCTCAAGTTTACCTCAATTGAAGATGCTCCAATTATAGTACAGTCTAAAATTAACCAGGCACAGAGGAGTGACGTAAGTTAATCCCATCTGCATTTTAATAAATGTTAAATAATATAAACACATTGCATTTCAAATAGACTGATCACCTGTAGTTACTGTGCAGTATAAAGAGAGTCAATTACATGAGCAACTGTGTAATTCCCTAGCCTTTCACTAGCAGAGCACACCTAATTCGTATCTTCAGGGTGTTATGTATATTGCACTGACTGTCCTTGCAGACATTTGACACTGCTTTCCAAAGAGAAGGTAAGAGGGGCTTCTCTTGATGACAAGAAGTGTTACAAGCCTATTTCTAGGAAAGAGCAGGAAAATGAGTATAGAAGATTTCGTCATATGGAGGACTTATATTTATAAGTCAGAGTTAAACAAAAATCATATATAGTAAAAGCTACCCTCAGGGCCCTTTAGGTGTCCACAAAGTGTAATACAGATGGATGGTGTATCCCATCCTATTAGCCTTTCTTAAGCTCAGGAAAGTGTTTGCAGGTTAACAGTTCTCATCAGGTCACCTCCTGGGGCTAACTTCCAGGAGGGGGGTCTAAGTCCAGAAGATCCTTGCACCTACCCAGGGACCTTTGCCAAGGCTGGACCAGCAGTAAGATAGGAGCCTGTGCATTGCATAGGAGACCTTGGATGCCTACAGACATTTGCAGATGAATATGGACATGGCACATAGTATCTTTAATAAGAAGTGTCTCTGGGCAATGTGATCCACTCTGAAATTATTTTCCTGTGCCATTAAACCCTTTTCTGTATTTCATTTATTTGTTTGCTTCTTTATGCACTTTTTTTTCTCACTTTCAGATTGCCTATAAAGCCAAAGGAGAGGAAATTCTTCACAAATATAACCTGCCAGTGGACCTGCCCCAGTTCATTCAGGCTAAAGTCAATGCCTACAATATCAGTGAGGTATGCGCGTGGGCTCAGCTGCTGATTGAGTGTTAAGCCTGTTCTAAATGTGTTGAGTTATATAGTCAAATGACATTTTCCTTTCAGAATATGTACAAAGCTGACTTGAAAGATCTGACCAAGAAGGGATATGACCTGAGAACTGACGCGATTCCCATCAAAGCTGCCAAAGCTGCCAGACAGGCGGCGAGTGACGTAAGTGCAGCTGGGGGTCGGCTGTGCGGCAGGGTGGGCCTGCCATCCAGGAGCCACTGTGTCTGCTGTCCCCAGTTAGAAGCGGGGTTCAAAACTATATAGAAAGGCAAGTTCCCTAAACAGATAATGAATTTTCTTGGGTGTAAGGATTTGTATAACCTTTACTAATAAGTTCTAATCAAGCACTCTGGTTTAAAAATCTCACCTATATGTGTACACAAATTCATGTTATTTGGCTTGTGGAAATAAATAAGTTACTATTTAAGTCATAATAGCCTCCTGATGGTAAAATTTTATCTCAAAACTTGCCTGATTTATATGAATTCCCTCTTTCCCTTCTCTCTCTTTATTGGTTCTAGAAACAGATGAATTGGCCTGTTTCACAGCTCCTAACAGTCAGTTATTAGGTTGCATTAAATACAAGTAAAAGGACTTTTGCTTTTTTCTTGTCTTAACTTTAACCTAGCTGTGAACGGAGGTCAACTTGCTTTTTGAGATTTAGATAAAATTGACCTGAACCCACCTGTTGTAGTATAAGAAGTGGGATGCCCTTCCCTGTGTTTACTGCAGCTATTCTGAGGTTTCTGTCTTTCAGTCACCTCTTGCACGTGATGGTTTTGCTGTAGTTTACATGGTCTCTTCTCCCCTGGAGCCGCTTCTCTTTCTGGTCTGCATGATCCAGAGATGGAACAGCTCCTTCCTTTTGACTTCCCCCCAAGTCTCAAGCACAGCTTCACTGATTATTTGCAATGAAGTTGACATTGCACCAATATAAATAAGTTCCAATTGAATAATAAACATCTGTGTCCTTAAAGCCCTACCAACCAGAATTTGTCACTGATCCCCTTTGTCTGTGGATACTCTCTTCCAGCTATCAGCACTGCATCTTAAAAAAAAAATTTTTTAGTGTATCATTGATATACAGTCTTATGAAGGTTTCACATGAGCAACACTGTGGTTACAACATTTACCCCCACTGCATCTTGTACAGAAAACTTCCTTCCCATCTCTGCTTTTCAGTTTCCTAGTGTGTTCCCAGGTGTCCCTAAGGAAATTCAGTTCTCACTTTATTATTCAAAGCCAATTAGTGTTTACACACCATCACCTCTGGATCTCCCTTTGAATAGCCAAAGACTCACTAAAATTCCACTATTACCACTATTGCTGCAATTCTACTACTAATGAGATAGCCAGACTTTGGGGTTTCTTCAACGTGATATATTTGGTAGCAATTGTGAAATATTTATCTTTGCATTTGTCTCTCCCAGTATGCAAATGGAAAAAAACTAGTTTTACTTTATCACTGATGTGAATTATACTAACACCCCATCCAACCTCTCTTGAGTGGCGGAAGCACCTCCAAAGAATCAAATGGGCTCTAAATTACATTGTAATATGACCAGGCTACCTTTCAAAGAATATACTGATGAGTATCTAATTGTTTGGTTGTTGAAGAAATTTCTGGGAAGCTCAGTTGCTTCAAATTGAGGTCTCATTGTTCAATGAAGTCTTCGTAACTACATTTACAAATATTCCCACCTTTGTTTCCAATAGGTTCAGTACAAAAAAGATTATGAAAAAGCCAAAGGGAAAATGGTTGGCTTCCAAAGTCTCCAAGATGATCCTAAACTAGTTCATTATATGAATGTGGCCAAGATACAATCAGACCGCGAGTATAAAAAAGACTATGAGAAGACAAAGACGAAACACAACACACCCCATGATATGTTCAACATTGTGGCAGCTAAGAAAGCTCAGGATGTTGCCAGCAATGTCAACTATAAGCACTCACTCCATCATTACACGTACCTCCCTGATGCCATGGACCTGGAGTTGTCTAAAAACATGATGCACCTACAGAGTGATGTAAGTGCCATTTACTTCACAAGACAACCCCCTAAGGTCGGAGCCTGTTATGAGAAGCCACTGCCTGGGGAGCTCACTTCTCCTTGTTCCTTTTGCTGTAGAACGCCTACAAGGAAGATTACAACACCTGGATGAAAGGCATAGGCTGGATACCTATCGGCAGTCTGGATGCAGAAAAAGTTAAAAAGGCAGGTGATGCCCTGAATGAAAAGAAGTACAGGCAACATCCCGACACCCTCAAATTTACCAGCATCGTGGACTCTCCGGTTATGGTCCAGGCGAAACAGAACACGAAGCAAATCAGCGATGTGAGTATCACAAAAGAGGGGGCAAAAGATAGAGGGAGGCTTTAAAACAATTAAATACGCTTTAAAATTCTTCTGAGCCAATATTTTTTTCCTCTTGAAATGATTATTTTATCTATTTAATTTAAAAATAATAACTACAGTTATTTTTAGTTTGGATGCTAACAGTTTCTTTTTCTTCAATCTAGCTTTTTACCTTCCTTTCTAAAACTTCTTTAACTGCCTTTGAAATACTGTGCTTTTGGATAAATTTGACACGATGCAAAAAGTTCTAGTCTAGTACTATATAAGCACGTGCGTGCGTGAGCACACACACACCTACACACACAATTTAAGCTTAATCTCAGACACTTATTGTGGCACATTCATCACATTCAATTCTATACTAACTTGCTTATATTTGCTTTTCATATATTAAATACTGATACAGGGAAATAATACACATAAGTATATGATTTTTACTCCTCCAAATTCATCTTATGCAATTATTAGAGAGACTTTTTAAAATTTATGTCTAGGTAGAGATTTGTACATTGTTTTCCTACCGGCCCATGAGCATTGTATATGCTCTGGCTAAAATAAGATCTAAAGGAAAGTTTGATGTCTTGAAGAGTTCAAGGGCATCAAAAGCATTGGTTCATTAATTCACTGAGTATTTCTGAACACCTTCCATGTGCCAGGCCCTGTATTATGTGCTGATGGCATAGAGATGAAATAGATGCGGATTAGAGGAAGATAGGATTTAATAAGGATATAAGACAAAAGTATAGGACAAAGGCATGGATAGAAAGAGAGCACTGCCATCCAGAGGTGAATGCTACAGGAGAGGTGTGTGCTAAGGAAGTGTATGAGAAAGGGGTGACTGTAACCTGATCATCGAGGGTCTTGTATGCGAATTTGTAGTAATGACCGAATGGGGCAGGTAATGGGAGGTATTGAAGATTTCTAATCCATGGAGTTGCATTACCGTGTCAGTGTTTTAAAGGACGTCTCTGGCAGAAAGCGCAGAGACTACAATGGAGAAGGGAGAGATTGGAGGCAAGGACATGCATTAGAAAGCTGTTACAGAAACACGATGGACTGACTGCTTTGGACTTCAGTTAAGGCAATAGCAGTAGGAAAGGTGCTCAGAAGGTAGAATTAATGAGATTCTGTGGATGCCTAGATATGGTTTCTAAAGGCAGTGAGGCAGTTAAGAAGCTCTTGGGTTTCTAGAAGCTATTTAGTGTTGGAGGATTCATTTAGATTAGCCATTTCAGACTTTACCTGTGATCGCACACAAGTTTCCCTGTGACATCCCACATAAACATGCCTTGGGAATGGGGTCCACATGACAAAGGACAACAAAGAGATTGAAAATATATTAAAATTCTGGTTCTGTTTTAATTTTAGAAAATAAGCAATTTATTTCTTTTCCTAATTTACCAAGAGTAGGATACACTATGATTTCTACATCATACACTTTGATGTCTTTGAAACATCTTTAAGATAAAAAAATAGGGTATATATAAAATGGTGAACCTTTTCCATATACTGGATTTGTATAAAAGTACCTTCATATTATGAGGAAATTATATGCTTTTACTGCTATAATTATAATTGGGAAGTTTTTGGCAAAAGTAAAAGACACATTTTAACTACTACTTTCTCTCTAAGAATGAAAAACCAAAAACAGAAAAAAAAAAACCTTCAAAGCTATTATCCTCACTAGCAAAGAATGAACTTTTCTTTGGTAAATTCTGTTATTCATGTTAAGGTTTCACATTTGAACTTCTTTTTCATTAATGTCTGACAATCAGAGATTTCTATTTTCTTAAGGATTTTTTTCTATTTTAATGCAGAAACATTCTGGGTTTTTCTAAAGATAACAAGCATGAGTGTTTTAAAATAAGAAAATATCTTGAATGGTTTTTAACAATAGAAATAGTGGGGGATTTTGCTAAGAATAACTCCCTTAAGCATGCAATTAATGTAATTTCCTTTTTTTGTACTATCTGTAATGCTTATATTTTTGGGAACTGTGTGTTGCAGGTTTTATACAAAGCTAAAGGAGAAGATGTGAAACATAAATTCACTATGAGTTCTGATCTTCCTCAGTTTCTCCAGGCCAAGTGCAATGCTTACAATATAAGTGATGTAAGTAGGGTCTTGGATGGGTGTGAAATCTAGACCGGATGATAAACTACTAGAATTTTAGAGTAGGATGGGGGCCTTACTAAGTATTTAGGTCAATTTTCCATGTAACTCACATTGGACCATGTCTCATGATGATGGCTCTCTACCTCTTGAGTTGGCCTTGTCAAGTATAGGACAACTCTAAAGGATGTAACATTCTTCTTTATGTGAGCCCAACATCTGTTCCTCTAGAACTTCTACTTAGTTTTCCTAGTATTGCATGTGGAGAAGGTTATTATTCTCCAGAAAAATAAGAAGAAATGAAATTCATTGTTTTATAACAAGCATTAATTTCTAAAGCTAACCACCAGGTCTTCCCTTAACCTTCCTAAGACTGAACAACTTCATGTTCTCCAGTTGACCCTCACATACCATGGTTTCCAGAACCTTTATTACTCTCCTCTGGACCCACTCCAGTTTCTCAGTACCCCTCTTCTATATGTGCCAAAAACCAGATTTGGGTGACTAATTAGTGCAGAGTCTAGTGATTTCATGCTATACAAAGTGTGACATTCTGCTAACGTGACTTCCAAAAACAGTATGTCCTACAGGAGATTCCTTTAGCTTGTATCTGGAAAAGAACAAAACAATCCCAGCAGTTGAGGAATCATTTTAGCTGATGAATACACAGCATGCTAACATGCTATTTCCTCTTCCATCCCAGGTCTGTTATAAGCGGGACTGGCATGATCTAATAGCCAAGGGCAACAATGTGCTGGGAGACGCTATTCCCATCGCTGCAGCCAAAGCCTCAAGAAACATTGCCAGTGATGTGAGTAAACATTTCAGGTGAAATCTGAGTGATTGCATATTTAAAAGCAATAAAATGTGTGCTCGTTTCAATGATACCACATTGAAAACAATATGTTGAATTAATGACATTCAAGTTCTCCGCAAAATATTGTTTTGGAAACCTGCCACTTTTTCAGTGTTTTGTGATTCTTTTCAGTTGATCTGGTAAAGCTGTCATAAATCTGACAGCAGCTTTCTCCCCTGATTCATAGGCCAAATTACCTTCACTGACACGTCTCCTGACAGCCCGCATTTATTTTCAGTGAGAATACCCTGACTGACACCAGTGCATTAAATCCAGATGATTGCCTGCATCATAATTACATTAAGAAGATTGCCAAGATGTTATAGAAAATGTACAGATTTTATAAACTAAATGGGAAAAGCCCACTTTTCTAGAATATAATTTACATGATTTATGTAAATTGATGCCCATTTCATCTCAATACAAAAAGCATACACTTATACTTCTTGCCATCATTGAAAAACAAGTTTTCAAAAAGCAAACATGCCCTGTAGACTTCACTGTCACACACTATTCCAAGGGATGCAATTACGGTTTGAGAAAAGAGAAAAAAACAATCTATCCATGTACAGGCCACATGAGAGGTAGGAGTGTAGGAATACTACAGCTTTCCTTGGAGGGAGGATACTGAAGTGTGTTCCTCAAAGGTTTGCACATTACTATGAAACACATTTCTATTTTAAGGAGAAAGTGGAAGTCTAAAGTATGACATTATCATTTTTTCTAGGGCTTGCAAAGAGCTTTTCCTATCATGGCCAGAAACTACTGGGCAATCCTTTTGCCTGCCAAACTCTTGTTTTCCTTCTTGAATGGCAGGAACGGTGTCTGCAGAGTTGAGGTGGATTTGAATTCCTTTACATAAAACTCAGGGTTTTGTCCTGTTACAGACAGCATAGCTCAGTCTACAACTCATTGCTGGTTCCAGCTAGGCATTTGCAGTTAGGTTTGTGCTGATGAGGTGAGCTCACAGCGGTTCTGCCTGCAGCTCCTTAACAGCTGCCGCTGCCTTCAGCACTGAGCTTGGAGATGAGTAGCTGCTGAGAAATGGGGTGCGTGATGGCCCAGCTTCCTGCCTGTGCAGCATCTAAATGGACCTTGAGAGAGAGGGTTTTTGCTTTAATCGTGTTCGGTCAACTTGAGACAACAGATGCAGTAATGTTTGCCATCCTCTACCCCAAGAAAATCTGAGTATAAACTCTTGCATGTAGGGTTCTTTAGAGTACCCTCTACACTTTTTGTGTACATATCACTAGGCCGGTGGGAACAGGAAATGGAAGATTTTCTCAGTGATTTCTAATATTCCGTGCTGTGAAATAGCATATTGGATTAGGAAAATTCAAGAAAACCTGGAAAACCGAGAAGTACTGGTCTCATATTTGGAATGTGCCATGCTTATATCAAGTGTGAAAACTCAATTGGTTTTAAGTAAAGTTCTCCATCAAATTATCTACAGGATTTATAGCAAAGAAAGAAACAGATCCTGAATTTTTCAGGACACCCATTTGTAACCAGGCAGAGTCGGAAATAAATGTTTTCACTCTGAGCTTTCTGAGGAGTGTGTGTGGAGGTGTATGGTTTGCATTTCTTGTATAAGCTTCCAGAAAGTCACAATGTTCTGGGTGTCTTTCTGTGTGAATATAATTGCTGCACCTAATGGTATCAATGCCTATGATTTTGCTAATCAAATTCTGCCTCTGCAGTATAAATACAAGGAAGCTTATGAGAAGTCAAAGGGAAAGCACGTGGGTTTTAGAAGCCTCCAGGATGATCCCAAGCTGGTCCACTACATGAATGTGGCAAAGTTGCAGTCTGACCGTGAATACAGGAAGAATTACGAGAACACCAAAACCAGCTACCATACCCCTGGGGACATGGTCAGCATTACAGCTGCAAAGATGGCCCAGGATGTTGTCACCAATGTCAACTACAAACAGCCGATCCATGATTACACATACCTGCCTGATGCCCTGAGCCTTGAGCATACCAGGAATGTGAACCAGATTCAGAGTGATGTAAGTATTTATAACCTCACAGACCCAGAGCTGTTGGGATGATCCTTTCTTCCCATTTTTAGACTTCACAAAATGCTAAGATATTTGAAAAATGCATTTTAAATAAACAATCATTATTGAAAATCTAATGTAGGCAGGGTAGACAAGCTGTATTCTTGCTGGCTTTCTTTGCTCCTATTATAATTATTGACATTGTCTTTATTCACTTTTGGATCAGAGATAAAACCATATTCCATTAAGTACATAAGCTACTTTTATTCTCAACAAGAGGAAATGGTTGCTCCTGGCAGGTCTGCTTTGGGGTGATATGTATATTGCAAAGTATCTTTATTCCTTCTGTATTCAGGAAAGTTATTTTCCTCTTTTTTGTTTTAACTCAAGGTCACACTCTCATGCATGTAAATCTATGTAATGAGTCATCTGAAAGGAACCAGAAAGGCTTTGTGATTGCAGCATGATTCATGGAGAGCTGCATGGGGGAAGTGTTTAATATTCAGGGCATTTCCTTCTGCAGGCGCCAGAATTCTGCAAAAATCATCCTCTGCAAAGGAAAAAAATGATGTTCATTTACTGTTGCTCAATGAAAATGTCTCTCCCCAACTGATATCAGGAGTAGCCTAGATGGACAATGTAGGTGAAATTCGAAGTTGTAGAATTTTCAGTGAAATCAAAAGAGAAGCCCAATTTATTGCCAAAAGAGACACAGTTTTTTTTTTGCGGTACCTGTGAAAATAAGGTGGCATAGATTTCCTCTGTGTCACTTAATGTACTCTAACAACTGAACTGCTTTTTCTTATTACCAAATTCTGTGTGAGGAGCTCTGTGGCAGACATAGTCAAAAGCTCTGTTACAGACACAGGCATGCTGAAAGGGTTGCAAATCATTTCCCCTGAGTAGAATTGCAGATTTCAGAAACATCCTTTGCATATTTTCTAGGATATCTCCTCATTTGAATTACTCTTTTACAGAATGTGTATAAAGACGAGTATAACAACTTCTTCAAAGGCATTGGATGGATCCCTATTGGTTCTCTGGAGGCTGAGAAGGTCAGGAAAGCAGGTGATGCCTTAAATGAGAAGAAGTATCGTCAGCACCCAGATACCATCAAGTTCACAAGTGTGCCTGATTCCATGGGCATGGTTTTGGCTCGGCAGAACACAAAGCAGCTAAGTGATGTAAGTGGTTTTCTTGCAAAAGGATTTGTCCCTGAATAACTCCTGCCACGGATCCACTCCACCATCCCCCTTAACTCAACATCTATATTAGCAAATCAACTGCTTTCAGAGGTATAATAGAAAGGTTTTACTTTGAAACAACTCGGAACTTGAACATAAGTAGAACAGGGAGGGGAGAAGGAGGCTTTTCTGAATTCATTTTATTTTCCAAATGTAAAGAGTCTGTGCTATTCATAAGCAGACCCCTCCTCATTATACATGTGCAATGAAATAATTACTATTGTCATCTGTGACTGTCTGAACCGCAAACGAAGCTATTGATTGCTCTCCGTTGCAGCCGTCCTACTTAGCTACACAGGGGAAGAAGGCATAATGTCCTAATCCTCTTGCATAAGAGCTCTGGGTTCGGAGAGGCAGTCTAGAGAGAGGCCTCTGGGGAAGACCAAGCACTTGCCTTTCAGAGCAATCGGAGTCTCGCTTCTGAGCCCAGATCTATCTGTATCCTCACTCGTAGAGCCTAATTACATGCTCAGTGCTTCCCCTCGCCCGGTAATTTCAGTGTTCTGTTTAAATTATTCCCCCAGTGAGAGAAGAGGAAGTCAAGAGCAAAGAAGGGAAGACTTTTTGTGTTTTAGTCCCAGATATTGAAAGGTGGGAATGCCTTGCTTGGCTCAGATTTGAGGATTATCTGTGGATTTTATTTTTCAGGCCAGTCACTGCTCCCACTTTACCATAGATGTGTCAAGATTAATTCTGTTTTAGTGCTAATAAATGGTGTAGATTCTTCTGATTTTTTTTTTTTTGACCGAGGTGTCACCTCACTGTGTTGTCCCGGTTAGCTTGGAAAACTGTATGCCCGCTAAGTCTCCCCATCCCAGCAAAGGCCAACAGCCCTACCTGGTTACTCCAGCCAGGAGCCTGGCAGTCACCACTGGTGCCTCCCTGCGTGGACCCCCGCGTCCTGTACATCTGCTGAGTTAGCCTCCTCATCTGTCCCAGCCAGCCTGGTGGGGCTCTTCCAGCTCCACCTGCCCTAGTTCGGGCTTCCATCTCTCTCGTGTGGGCACCCGCAGTAACCTGTTATCTGGCTCCCTGTCAGGGGTCACACATGACAACCAGAAGGACTGTCTTAAAGCATAAAGCGAATCATGCCCTCTCATACTTAAAACCCTTTAGTAACTTCTTCATGAACTTGAAATACAATCTAAACTTGTTCACTTGGCTGAAAAGGCCCTCAGCTCTGTGGCCCTGCTCCCCCCCCATCTGATCCTCATGGGCCCCTCGGTGTCCTGAAGCCCTGTGATGCCGGCTGCCCTCAGGCCCTTCTGGGCTGAAGGATCTGAATGCTCTTCTGCCCCAACCCGTCTCCTTCCCCTGAGTCTGGGCATAAATGCTGCCTCCTTAGTGAGTTTTGCTGACCCCTTGGTTCTTTCCTGAAGTTATTCTATTTACAACTCAGCACAAATTCTAGCTGTCTTACAGTTTATGTTTATTGTCTATCTCCTCTATTGTGCCATTAGTTCTCAAGAGGACAGGTCTGCCTTTTCCAGCATTTTAAACATAGAATCCACCACCCTGCCTGACCCACAGTGCTGTCCAATGAATACTGGTGGATGGTCAACTGAATAGGTCTAACACCCCCACATGATAGTATAAGTAATTGACTTGCATATGGAAAAACACAAATGATAGCCTTCCTTTTTAAAGGAGTGCATGCTTGAGGAAACTTACATTATGTCAGCTGATGACCTTTGCTACTTCCTTTTATTTAGTTGAACTACAAGATAGAAGGGGAGAAACTGAAGCACAAGTACACTATGGACCCCGAATTGCCTCAGTTTATTCAAGCCAAAGTCAATGCCCTCAATATGAGTGATGTGAGTATTTGGCCTGGGTCAGCCCAATATGGCTAACACGGGCCCCTCCTTTTCAGTTCTGTGAAGCTCTAGCATTGAGAGTGTTAAGGGAAGCAAACTGAGTGTGGGCCCTTTGAGTCTCTGCTGGAGGAGGTCTTTGAGAGGATGTCACTGCTGGTTGACCTGTGAGCTGGACCTGGGCAACTGGAGGCACCTCATCCCTCCCCTGTCCTTGCAATGCCCATTCTGCCCACGTTTCCACAGCGGGAGCCATTTTCAAGGATACAGGCTTGAGAGAGCAATGCAATCGGAATAGTATACAGTGACTGAACCAGTTAAGACCTCTATACAAACTTTTAAGATTCTGGTGGGTGGGTGTGGCGATCTAGCCCTCTTGCAGGCACCCAAGACAAGCGTCATATGTAAGTTCTCTTGCTTATAAAACCTGTCCACTTGGAGTGGCCTGCCTCTCTCTTTACTCTCTCCTTGCTCTCAATGTATGGAGCCCAATTTTTTAACTAACAGTCTGAAGATCTAACCCTTATTATAGAATATGAGTATAGAAGCTGTCATCATATTTTGCTTAATGCAGACTTTTCCAAACTATGGGCTATGACTCATTAATGAGTTATAAAATCAATCTAGTAGGTTGTGTTCCATTTCTTTAAAAGTGGAACAAAATGGTATAGACAAGACTAGAAAATACAGTAGTGCATGGTCTGTGGTAAGGATAAGTATTGCTTTATATATAACATTTGTTTTTGTCACTTGTTAAAACCTTTTTAAAAGCTTGTTATAATATTCTTTAGAAGCTCTTTTTTGTTGCATGTAAGTAGCATCTCTCAGGCAGTCTAGATACAAAATTGGTGGTGATGTTTATATTCACTATTATGAATTATTTCCTTTTGCTTTAAAAAATATGTTGGTAAATTCTAATTTAAAAGCATAAACTGGTTAAAATTGGTTTTTATGTCTTAAAAGATGCCCTAGTCATTCTGCCTATCATCTAAGGAAGAATGTTTTTACCTCCAAATAGATACTTTTTGGTACTCATTTCTATGCTTTTGGTTTATTTAAAAATTTTTTCCTGTTTTCATATGTAATATTTAAACATTAATTAAAGCTGGGTGGTCATATGGCAGAATTTTTTATTTTAGTATCCATACCTTTCTGTAAGTTTAAAATTCTTCATTACAAAAAGTACAAGAAAACAAATGTATTACATGCTTATTATAGAAAAGTTGGAAAATACAGAAAGTTTTGGAAAAAAAATCTGTTGTCCCACATTCAAAGCATTATCTTTCTGTTGCTTTGTTATGCACATATACATTTTTAAAGCTGTTGAGTCACACTGTGTATAGTTTACTGATTTCTTAAAAGAATCTGATAAATAAAAGATGAACTAATAGCTGTAACTCTGTGAACTCTTAATAGAAAGGATATATTATGTCATATTTTATAAGAAAGATTTTGGCCTGTTTCATTCCTCTTTTAGTTGGGTCAAATAGTAAAATAATCTTTCCTTTTTTCAAGGCTCATTATAAAGCAGACTGGAAGAAAACCCTTGCTAAGGGCTGTGTTTTAGGATCAGATGCCATACCAATTGTTGCTGCAAAAAGTTCAAGGAATATTGCCAGTGATGTAAGTCTAATTCCAAAATTTTAAAGTTGTAAACTCTTTTTGTCAATATTTAAAAAATCTTTACATGGTTTATGAGGCTACATGAGCTATATTAAAAAGCAAATAAAAATTATAAAATAAAAATACTTCCTAACGTCTTAAGTTAGGACTTAATACAAAATATGACTTTTGTATATTGCTTCATTTAAATATCATTAAAACCTTAATACAGTTGTTAAAAAGAAAAATGTTTTAAACTGAAATATTTGGAACTCTCATTCATATCATTGTTATGAACTTGAAAACTGCTTTTTATTTTGGATTTGTTTCATGAATTTTGTCAAGAAAAAAAAACCTTGGTACACTAAAAGGCCACTAAATCAAAAAAGTCTCTGAGTGTTTTAAAAGAATACAATTTTAAAATAATATAATTTTCACACCCCCAAAAAACCTGGTTACATATAGAACTAGAAAGTATTTTAAATAACAAAATTTTAGTTGTTTACCATCTTAAATAATTACTTTTTAAAAATTTATTATTTTCTGTATAGATTGATGTAATATCTTGATAGAGTAAAAATGTATTCATTTGGAGTCCAACACTAATTTAGATAAAGGTTTTGCTGAAATTTACTCAAGATTATGCAAATATTTTATAAGGTAATGCAAATCAACTGTAGAAACAGATAATAAAAAGTACACCAAATCCTTAATAAACAAAGTCATCAGGTTTGAGCATATTCAAAGAACCTACTGATAAATAATCTAGATATAAACTATAAATTATTCCATTCTTAATTATTCCCAGAGCAGATCTCAAAAACATCCATTAGAAATATTTTGCTAACTGTTTATTTTAAATCCTAAAAAACTTGGGCATTACCCAGATTCAGACTGAATTTGCCCATTTCTTACTTTGCCATATAAATTCAGTTTAACAGTTCAGTATTTACTACAATCTACCCTATCAAACTTCTATCTTTCTTTCTTTTCCATACAGTTCAAATATAAGGAGGCTTACGAGAAAGCCAAAGGCAAGCAAATTGGATTTCTCAGTCTTCAGGATGATCCTAAACTGGTCCACTACATGAATGTAGCCAAAATGCAGTCCGATCGTGAATACAAAAAGGGTTATGAAGCCAGCAAGACCAGGTATCACACACCCTTGGATATGCTCAGTGTGACAGCAGCCAAGAAATCTCAGGAGGTCGTTACCAACACCAACTACAGACAGCCCTTCCACTGCTACACTCTGCTGCCTGATGCCTTGAATGTGGAGCACTCCAGGAACGCCATGCAGATTCAGAGTGACGTATGTACTCGTCAATAGATTGTCAGCGCAGTTAGTTATCCACCTACAGCTGGCAGGAGAACACACCGAGAAATGGGCAGTTCCACTTCCTCATTCCTAAACCTGACTAGACCCACTGTGATTAGGGGTTCTCTCCAGGATTTGGAGCTTTAGGATTTCACTCATTTGAACTAAACATAACTTCAAAAAATTTATACACACACACACACACACACACACACACACACACACACACACACACTTTAAAACTTTGGATGTTAGACCCAATGTATGACACAATCTGTGAAAAAGTACGAGGCTCAAACAGGTGCTATATAATATCCCTTCCAGTGTAGAATTCTATAACTTTTCCTCCAAGAAAGTTAATTTTAAAAGGATTTATTAGGTCAAGATTTCCTGTTCAAAAACCATCATGAATGCAATCACTTTTATAATTAATTTTTTCCCAAAAGACAGTAGGGAATAAAAAACAAGTTATTCTGCCCCCTCCTGTGTGTGTGTGTGTGTGTGTGTGTGTGTGTGTGTTTGTCTTTTAGATCATGAGTAAGTCATCTAGCAGAAGAAACTCAAGCCCTAACTCTTTTTGAAATGAAAATTTCCTTTTTCGTCTTAAAGAATCTATACAAATCTGACTTCAACTGGATGAAGGGGATCGGCTGGATACCAATCCAGTCGCTGGAGGTGGAGAAGGCGAGGAAAGCAGGAGACATCCTCAGTGAGAAAAAGTATCGGCAACATCCTGAGAAGCTGAAGTTCACTTACGCCATGGACACAATGGAACAAGCCCTTAACAAGAGTAACAAACTGATCATGGACAAGGTGAGGACTCACCGGCTGGCCTCAGCCTGAGGCTCGTGAGGGCCCATGCCAGTGGGTCTGGCAGTGCCACCACCGTCTTGGTCAGCATTTTTGTCCTGATGGCTGCAGTGTGGTAGCGAGAGGGATGTTCTGTGGATTGTTATGCACATATACATTTTTAAAGCTGTTGAGTCACACTGTGTATAGTTTACTGATTTCTTAAAAGAATCTGATAAATAAAAGATGAACTAATAGCTGTAACTCTGTGAACTCTTAATAGAAAGGATATATTATGTCATATTTTATAAGAAAGATTTTGGCCTGTTTCATTCCTCTTTTAGTTGGGTCAAATAGTAAAATAATCTTTCCTTTTTTCAAGGCTCATTATAAAGCAGACTGGAAGAAAACCCTTGCTAAGGGCTGTGTTTTAGGATCAGATGCCATACCAATTGTTGCTGCAAAAAGTTCAAGGAATATTGCCAGTGATGTAAGTCTAATTCCAAAATTTTAAAGTTGTAAACTCTTTTTGTCAATATTTAAAAAATCTTTACATGGTTTATGAGGCTACATGAGCTATATTAAAAAGCAAATAAAAATTATAAAATAAAAATACTTCCTAACGTCTTAAGTTAGGACTTAATACAAAATATGACTTTTGTATATTGCTTCATTTAAATATCATTAAAACCTTAATACAGTTGTTAAAAAGAAAAATGTTTTAAACTGAAATATTTGGAACTCTCATTCATATCATTGTTATGAACTTGAAAACTGCTTTTTATTTTGGATTTGTTTCATGAATTTTGTCAAGAAAAAAAAACCTTGGTACACTAAAAGGTCACTAAATCAAAAAAGTCTCTGAGTGTTTTAAAAGAATACAATTTTAAAATAATATAATTTTCACACCCCCAAAAAACCTGGTTACATATAGAACTAGAAAGTATTTTAAATAACAAAATTTTAGTTGTTTACCATCTTAAATAATTACTTTTTAAAAATTTATTATTTTCTGTATAGATTGATGTAATATCTTGATAGAGTAAAAATGTATTCATTTGGAGTCCAACACTAATTTAGATAAAGGTTTTGCTGAAATTTACTCAAGATTATGCAAATATTTTATAAGGTAATGCAAATCAACTGTAGAAACAGATAATAAAAAGTATACCAAATCCTTAATAAACAAAGTCATCAGGTTTGAGCATATTCAAAGAACCTACTGATAAATAATCTAGATATAAACTATAAATTATTCCATTCTTAATTATTCCCAGAGCAGATCTCAAAAACATCCATTAGAAATATTTTGCTAACTGTTTATTTTAAATCCTAAAAAACTTGGGCATTACCCAGATTCAGACTGAATTTGCCCATTTCTTACTTTGCCATATAAATTCAGTTTAACAGTTCAGTATTTCCTACAATCTACCCTATCAAACTTCTGTCTTTCTTTCTTTTCCATACAGTTCAAATATAAGGAGGCTTACGAGAAAGCCAAAGGCAAGCAAATTGGATTTCTCAGTCTTCAGGATGATCCTAAATTGGTCCACTACATGAATGTAGCCAAAATGCAGTCCGATCGTGAATACAAAAAGGGTTATGAAGCCAGCAAGACCAGGTATCACACACCCTTGGATATGCTCAGTGTGACAGCAGCCAAGAAATCTCAGGAGGTCGTTACCAACACCAACTACAGACAGCCCTTCCACTGCTACACTCTGCTGCCTGATGCCTTGAATGTGGAGCACTCCAGGAACGCCATGCAGATTCAGAGTGACGTATGTACTCGTCAATAGATTGTCAGCGCAGTTAGTTATCCACCTACAGCTGGCAGGAGAACACACCGAGAAATGGGCAGTTCCACTTCCTCATTCCTAAACCTGACTAGACCCACTGTGATTAGGGGTTCTCTCCAGGATTTGGAGCTTTAGGATTTCACTCATTTGAACTAAACATAACTTCAAAAAATTTATACACACACACACACACACACACACACACACACACACACACACTTTAAAACTTTGGATGTTAGACCCAATGTATGACACAATCTGTGAAAAAGTACGAGGCTCAAACAGGTGCTATATAATATCCCTTCCAGTGTAGAATTCTATAACTTTTCCTCCAAGAAAGTTAATTTTAAAAGGATTTATTAGGTCAAGATTTCCTGTTCAAAAACCATCATGAATGCAATCACTTTTATAATTAATTTTTTCCCAAAAGACAGTAGGGAATAAAAAACAAGTTATTCTGCCCCCTCCTGTGTGTGTGTGTGTGTGTGTGTGTGTGTGTGTGTGTGTCTTTTAGATCATGAGTAAGTCATCTAGCAGAAGAAACTCAAGCCCTAACTCTTTTTGAAATGAAAATTTCCTTTTTCGTCTTAAAGAATCTATACAAATCTGACTTCAACTGGATGAAGGGGATCGGCTGGATACCAATCCAGTCGCTGGAGGTGGAGAAGGCGAGGAAAGCAGGAGACATCCTCAGTGAGAAAAAGTATCGGCAACATCCTGAGAAGCTGAAGTTCACTTATGCCATGGACACAATGGAACAAGCCCTTAACAAGAGTAACAAACTGATCATGGACAAGGTGAGGACTCACCGGCTGGCCTCAGCCTGAGGCTCGTGAGGGCCCATGCCAGTGGGTCTGGCAGTGCCACCACCGTCTTGGTCAGCATTTTTGTCCTGATGGCTGCAGTGTGGTAGCGAGAGGGATGTTCTGTGGCTTGCCTCATGCCTAGAGAGCACTCACTTACTCTGACCCTCAGGCTGTCGGTCAGCACCATGCTCAGGTACACAGAGCCGCAAAACTCCAGAGTGTGAGGTCAGGGCAAGATGGCATTTGCTATTTCCACGGAAGAGGGCTCCCTTGTTGGATAATTACGTTTTCTCATTGTTTGTCCAGTTTCATCAGCCCATCTTCTTGTTATTTCATCCATTTCCAATATCATATTAGCCTCTTCTACCATGGAGTTGTGTCTCTTCCTCTTTCTTGGGTGTAATACCCTTTTTTAAAAATTAAGTATATGTCATTGATATACAATCTTATGAAGGTTTCACATAAGCAACATTGTGTTTTTAACATTCCCCCTTATTACCAAGCCCCCCACCCCGCTGCAGTCACTGTCCGCCAGCGTAGAGAGATGCCATAGTGTGTCTCTTCCTCTTGATGGCACTGTTACAACTTGTAACTTGTACAATCTTGCTGTACCATCACGTGCCTGTCTTTCTGGTTGCAGAGGCGCTACACTGACAAGTGGAACAAAGACAAGACCACTATTCATGTGATGCCTGATACCCCAGACATTCTACTCTCCAGAATGAACCAGATCACGATGAGTGATGTAAGTACATTAACAGCAACAATGGCAAAAGTAGGGGAGAAGGTTGAAGTGAGCAGATGTTTTTGGAATATCTTGTCTTTTACATGCCAACCACTTCGAAACCAGGATCCTCATTATAACCCAAGTAACAAGATGCTGGTGTTTTTCTGTTGTGTCATTTAGAAACTGTACAAAGCTGGCTGGGAAGAAGAAAAGAAGAAAGGCTATGACATGACACCTGATGCCATCCCGATAAAGGCTGCTAAAGCCTCTCGGGACATTGCCAGTGATGTAAGTGCTTCCGCTGGACCCTCTAGGCTGAGCAAGTCAGAAGGAATTGGCCGTGTTTGTGTGTGTTCAGGAGCTGTGGCCAGCCCTTCCCAGGACTAGTGGGAGCATCGTCCCTTTTAACACACAAAACAATTCCCTTCACCCAGGCCAAGGACCCTCTAATCACTTGCTCATTATTTCGTATAAAAAGTGGCTGGTCTTGTTGTAAAATAAGGTGCTTTCAGAGTATTCAGGTCATTTATAGACAATTCTAAGGGATGCAATGTACACATTTTTCCCAGGGGACCCACGACCAGGCCTTTTCCTGGGTTTAAAGATGTACTGTGAGAAATCGTGTCTGCAGCTTTTTCTGCTGATTAGATAGCTGAGTGGGAAAAGATGCTTTTAAAGCAACCAAAACCAACTTATTTACACATTTCTTTGATAAACTCTGAGATCATTTTCTTTCTATGGACTAAAGTCTGGCATCAAATTTGAAGTAAAAAGATTTTGCTCCTTCCCCCTGTGAGCTACTCTTTTTCTAATTTTATTGTAGGCCTAAAACCCTACACCTAAGACAAAGCTAATGCATCCAGTGAATTATATTTTATTCTCTTTCCTTCATTATCTTCACCACCATGCTTTCTCTTCTGTGCACAGTACAAATATAAGCAAGCCTATGAACAAACCAAAGGGAAACACATTGGCTTCCGGAGCCTAGAGGACGACCCCAAGTTGGTGCACTTCATGCAGGTGGCCAAGATGCAGTCAGACCGGGAATACAAGAAGGGATATGAGAAATCCAAGACATCCTTCCACACCCCGGTGGACATGTTAAGTGTGGTGGCAGCCAAGAAGTCTCAGGAAGTGGCCACCAACACTAACTACAGGAACCTGATCCATACCTACAACATGCTTCCCGATGCCATGAGCTTCGAACTAGCCAAAAATATGATGCAGATTCAAAGTGACGTACGTGACACCCATGACATCTGCAGAGCATTTGCTCTGGAGAATAAGCAATCATGAATGACCCTAAGTAGTAACATTTTGAAAGCCCTGCAAGAAATGCATGTGTAATTTCCCAATGGGTGTTTCGTTTTTTTACCTTAGATTGAATTAATTTCTTTTAACAAAAAGGGGTCAACTCTAGAAACTCATCGTGTGCTCGACCCTTCTTGCTGTGAGCACTGTTGGATGGTGCGTTCAGCCACAGCAAATGAAACTGGGCTTCAGAAAGAACATGTTGAAGGAACTGTGTCTAGCAAAGAGTCAGAAGTATAAAAGGCTCTTGATAGAGGAGTAAGAAGGAAGAAAGTTTGATAGCTCCCTCCCCTCACTTTCAGCCAGCTTTCATTTCACTATTTCCAACTTTGTAATTGCCTGCCTTACTTACCAATGAATACTGATAGGAGGCGATGGCTGTGGCAGCTGTTAGAATGAATGCGAGGGACGCACAGAGAGTAGGGCCACAAGTTCAGCCAGAGAGGCCATTTGGTAGCTGGGGGAAGTAAATGTAAGTTACAAACCACAGCTGTGCAAGCCACACCAAACCTACTTTTCTCTTTGGGAATATAAGAGCTGAGCTGTTAATTGCCGGAAGGCACGTAAGTGCCCAAATGAAAGCAGCCACAGTATAGTTGTAGAGGAAAATGTCCAGAGTTGAGGGGAAAATAACAAAATCTGCATGAAATACCAGTGAGGTTTCTGGCATTCCTGAGGAAGTTGTAACAGGGCTGGGTGATCAAAGACTTACAGTGGGAGAATCGGGATCCCCATGAGTCCTCTATTAACCTAGAGAACTGGGGAATTTTTGTAAGTTAGGCCAGCATAGTCATCTGTCATGAGATAATAGTCACATGCAAGGAAACCTATTTGGTGTTTCTGAGCACTTTTTCTTTACAAAGGCAAAGAGAGAACCAGACAAATCACAGAAAGTTACTGCTATTTATTTATTTTGATTGAAGTATAGTTGACATGCAATATTATATTATTACTGCTTGTTTTTAACTTCTCATGTGAGGAAATGTAAAGAAGATAATGTTTAGGGATAAGAATAGTTGAAGTTTAATAAACCATTGGTGTTTGAAGTGGAACTTGTGGAATATTAAATACCCACTCATGGTTCTTGGGCGTTCTGGTTTCTTCTCATCCTTGCACTGTCACTCTTTTGCAGAATCAGTACAAAGCTGACTATGCTGATTTCATGAAGGGCATTGGATGGCTCCCTCTGGGCTCCCAGGAGGCTGAGAAAAACAAGAAAGCCATGGAGATTATTAGTGAAAAGAAGTACCGCCAACGCCCAGACACTTTGAAGTATTCCTCATTGATGGACTCAATGAACATGGTTTTGGCTCAAAATAATGCAAAAATTATGAATGAAGTAAGTCTTTCAGTAATGTTGTTTTTCATATGCATCAGGAAGAAGCCAGGCAGGTCTTACATTTAATGTACAGGTTTTGCTAACAGTTTTAGTACATTATAGTTAATGTTTACTTTCAAAAAGGGTCTTGGAGTTTAAAAAAGATAGAAGTTAGTCCTAATTAGTGGTCCCCAAATGGTCAATGAACCACTTGAATCAACAGATATAATAAAATAAATGTGGGCTCTTTCTTTTAATGCGAATCTTGAAAACAGGTCCTGTTTATCTAAGGTGAGGTTTAGCAGAAGGTGATGGGGCTGAATCGGACCATTAGCCTGATTCCAGCTGGTACTGAAGCCCATCCCTGCTTCCTAGCTGCTTCAATAGGATCCAAGAAGATGCCTGGATCACAAGGCTAAAGCAGCACATATCTGTGTAACAGAAGGATGGGACACTTCACTTTCCTATTTAGACCCTCTCCACTCTCTTATTGAGCATGTTTTCCATTTAAATTTTTAAGAAGTAAGATCTAGCTAATAAAAATACATAAAATACTAATAGGTACAAGGATATATATGTACCTTTTAAGGTACATATGAGCTCCTTTTAAGATTTTAAACACTAAATTCCACTGGGTTTTGTTGTTTTTGTTTTTATACTTGTTTTACTTCCTAGCACCTCTATAAACAAGCATGGGAGGCTGACAAGACCAAAGTCCACATCATGTCTGATATCCCCCAGATTGTTCTGGCAAAGGCAAATGCAATTAACATGAGTGATGTAAGTATAATCCCCCTGCTGCCATCTTTCTTTCCCACCTATTGGAACCAGTAAAAGGACATTAACTAATTAACGTCTCTCAATTTTGAGAGTGAATCTTTTGAAAATAAAGGTGGAATCCACAAATAAGAATCTTTCCCTTTCTAATCTGGCTTTGCTAAGAGTTGGAGTGGGCCTATCGATGGGACATGGGTCCAGCACTTAGGAACCTAAAGGGTGACTGGAGGGGGCAGGTACTGCTCATCAGACTAGGAATTGGCGTGAAGTGAAGGGCTTCGGGACTGGGAGGTGAGAACAAGAAGGTGAGAATGCTAGTCCTTCCACTGGGCCTATGAGATAGACTGAGAGAGTAAGTTTTGGGAAAAATCAAATGGAAACGGGAGATGAAGATTTAGAAGAATTTGGGGCATGCCCTACAATTAATATGCAGCCCATAATGTTAGAAAATGTGGTGCTTTATTTCGTTTCTTATCCTAACCAGAGTTGCTAGGAAATCCTCTAATCCTGCGGTGTTTTTTTCTTTTCTTTGTTTGAATTACGCAGGGATTTGGGATTGCTGACTTTTTTCTGGATTGTAGGGTCCACATAATTATATAAATAAAAGTGTCAATTACAAATCAGTTAAGTTTTCTTTTGATGTAAGAACATGGCTGTTTTGAAGCCTTCCCTTGACCCTTACTTAATAAAATGCATCAAGAATAATCTACTGGGCTCACATTTTTGAAAAGTGTATTTACAACCTAATAGTAAAAGTAATATATGTTTGGGTTTGTAATAGATTTCTTTTTTTCAGCACAGTTATTTGTTAGTGAGAACATTCAGCTATTGAACCACCACTGAAGGATTCTGCTCAAAAATAAAAATGATGCCTCAGTGCTAATTGACCCTTTTAAAAGAAATTTAAGCTTTCCCATTCAGAAGAAAACTATTACCTTGCCTCTCTTTACAGAAACTCTACAAGCTTTCTTTGGAAGAGGCTAAAAAGAAAGGCTGTGATCTCAGAGCTGATGCAATTCCTATCAAAGCTGCCAAGGCTTCAAGAGATATTGCAAGTGATGTAAGTCGGGAGGGAAACAATAACCTGGCTGGGGATTTTACCTACCAGAATAATAAGGGCTGAGTTCTGGAAACTCTAGAGTGGATAAAATATGAAGAAGAAAAAAAGTGTGCCTGCTAGCAATAGCCACATTCTCTTGTGTGAATGCTTCTTAGCTGGGCTCTTCGTTTTCTCTGGTATTCCTGAAAAAACAGAATGTTAGCTGCAGAATGCTGACCACATAGATACCTGCTCCCTGACTCCCGAGAACTAGGTGAATGTACTCTGAACCCCATCACCAAGACTCTGGCCTGTAGAAATCCAAAGCCCTTCACCAAGCTTTTTTGGTGAAAAACTTGCTTTGTTTTTGCTTCCCGCTCCATAGGCTCTGTCTTCCCGACAGGATGTCTCCTGGAGTGGTGTGCTAGAGGGCTTGATCTTTTGGGCTCATGACTACTGATTAATAAATGAGAAGAAATTCTGCAAATGAGTTGCTAAACTATTAGTAACCTGACATCAGCCATGGTGGGAATATTTACACCACTGAAATTGACAAACATTACAAATTAGGGCTTTTCCCCCCCAAGAGCTGGTGTGCCAATACATGGCGGCTATAACCTATCACCTATATGAAACTCAATTCTTTCATTTGGTGGTTTCCACGTGAAATCCGCTCACAGTGAGCACTGAATGGTCTGCGGGTAACAGGAGGAGCGTATTTCAGAGCACTCTTTCTTCAGCACCCCCACCCAGTTACTTCCATCTTGTTCTTCATCTTTCCTACCTATCCATCCCTACCCTACTCCTATATTGTCCTGAGAACTGCAAATTCTTCTCTTACTATTATGCTGGAGCAATTTGGCTCTCCCAGCTCCTACCCCAGACTTGCTGTCTAACCCATGAGAGACACAGAGAATAGGAAGCTTTCCCTGTATCAGGGTCTCCTTTCTATAGAGGGAAGCATTCATAAGTAGTAATGTATTTCCCCACTAACCCAGAATAGAGAGTCTTAAAAGAGAAGGAACTCCACAAATAAAACTACCATAAAATTATACTATATATCTCATAACCGAGCCTATTCTTATCATTTAAGACAGACTGGATGTTTGCCAAGCAGCATTAAACTGCTTAGAACATTCTGCTTTTTGCTCTGATTTACTGTACTCTTATCACCCACTAAAGTTCTCTTTAACACTAACACCAGAGCACATGTGGAAGTCAGGGTGATGAATCATCACAAGATCTGGGTTCTAATGCTTACTGACCTTAGCAAGTCACTCACCTCTTTGGGTCTCAGCCTACTCATTTATAAAATGGGGGCAGTAATGATAACTTTGCTATCTACTTCACAAAGTATAGCTGTGAGTACTGTTGCACAAATAAACATGAAAAGTGTGTTTCGGGAAATGCAGAATTCTATACAGGTATTACTTTTTGTGAAATACTGAATATTGGCACTAGAATGATTTCTACTCAAGGGAATTGCTTTGACTGAATATGCAAATTTTCTTCGCAGTATCAATACAGACACAATTATGAAAAGGAGAGGGGCAAAATGGTTGGCTTCCGCAGTCTTGAGGATGACCCCAAATTAGTCCATTCCATGCAAGTGGCTAAGATGCAATCTGATCGGGAGTACAAGAAGAACTATGAGAAGACGAAGACCAGCTACCACACCCCTGCCGACATGCTCAGTGTCACAGCTGCCAAGGATGCTCAAGCCAATATCACCAACACCAACTACAAGCACCTGATTCACAAGTACATCCTTCTTCCAGATGCCATGAGCATTGAGCTGACCAGGAATATGAACCGCGTACAGAGTGATGTAAGGCTTTCTTCTTTCTGGGTGATGGTTGGATTCCTAGTATGGGAAAGGAGATCACAGTTCTCTGTGTCACCGCTTTGTGTCTAGATTGATAAGGTAAAGTAGAATTTGCCTCTTCTCTCTATAGAATGAATATAAACAGGACTACAATGAATGGTACAAAGGGCTTGGCTGGAGTCCAGCTGGTTCCCTAGAAGTGGAGAAGGCCAAGAAAGCAACTGAATATGCCAGTGATCAGAAATACCGCCAGCACCCTAGCACCTTCCAGTTTAAGAAGCTGACCGACTCCATGGACATGGTTCTTGCCAAACAGAACGCACATACCATGAACAAGGTAGACTGAACCGCTGTCCTTCCATACAGCTTCCAGCCAGGCAGGGCTAGCCGCCTCTGCTTCTTGTTTGGAAACTTGAATCTCGGTCCACCCTTTCCAGGCAGCGGCAAAGAGTTTCAGAACGTGTCCCTACACCATTTTCTTCTGCTGACTACCTCTTATTTTTATTTCCCCTGCCCTCCTAATTGAGTTAGAAATTATTTGGTTTTTAACATTATTGTATCTTAAGTACTTTCAATACATTCTAGAAGACATAAAATACCTAAAAGATTATTTTTTAAATCTAAGTTTGTTTTTAATGTCTTCTCTGAATCATATACTACTCAATTTAATCTAATTCATATTGAACACATTCAAATACTGTTCTATCTTTTTTTTCCTGTTTGTCCTAAAACAGGTATTCAAATTAAAATGTCTTTTTTTTTTTAACTTCCTAGCACTTATACACCATTGACTGGAACAAAGATAAAACCAAGATTCATGTGATGCCAGATACACCAGATATTTTACAAGCCAAGCAGAATCAAATCCACTACAGTGAGGTAAATCTATACAAAAATTTGACTGGGAGCTCATTAAACTTGTTAAATGATGTAATGTTTAAAAAAATTTGATATAAATGCTGGAACAATGGAAATGAATGACTCACACTGGCTAGCCTACAAATGTTGCAAAAGATGGTGGATCCGAGCAAGAGGTTCACTACCACTGTGTGCTCCATGGAGGCAGGCACAGTGCCTGTTTTGCTTATCTCAGTATTCACTGTGCTTGGCACAGAGCAGAAAATCTATAAATAGTTTTTGAAAGAAAAAACTGCATCAAACAGACCTGGTATGCATTTTGGCTTTGCCATTTATGAGTTAATATTACATCTAAACCTTAGTTTTCTCCTCTTTAAAATTGAGATCATAAAAGTGCCTATGATATTGAATTGTTGTGAGGACCAAATGAGAAATTTCGTGGAACACTGTCAGCAAGGTGCTTGGCACACAGTAGGTACTGGATGACTTTCAGCTATTTTTACTATGATCCAGTTTTAACACACATGCATCTATTTAATAAATTCGTCTCAAAAAGGTTAATTCATTTATTGCCCCTAATAAAAGGCATTTCATCACCTACTATTTTTATTGCTTAAATAATTAAATGTTTGTGTTTTTTTGTTACCAATTATATAACATCTGTGTTTAAAATAGGGAGCTCAGACTGTATTTAACAGCAAGAGAAAGATAACTGATACACCTGATATGCCCACATTGTATCAGAACAGAAAAGTCCATGCTCAGTTATGCCCCTGGAGAGTGGAGGGTGGTTTCTTAGAGCCAAAAAACTGAAGCTAGATTATGTGATTGCTAAGTCAGTGTTTCTATGCAACAGCTTGTTTCATTATTATCTCTATCTTTACAGATAAGGTAGATGTTAGAATTTAATGTCTAATCTCTAGGTAAACTTTTGTTCAGTAATCTGTTGGGGTTTTAATGTGCACTAATTATTGCTAAATAATTTATATAATTTTCAGAAACTTTATAAACTTGGATGGGAAGAAGCTTTGAAGAAAGGCTATGACCTTCCACTTGATGCAATTTCTGTGCAGGCAGCCAAGGCTTCAGGAGACATTGCTAGTGATGTAAGTCCTAGTTTGACTTCCATAAGGATATATTTTTATCTGAATCAGGTACCCTAATGCTACAGACCTCACCTTTCAAAATGTAAAGCCATCCCCTTCATCTTCAACTACCTTCTTTGTTTACCCAAAATTCACTCTTTCTCACTGATCAAATATCAAAAAAAAAGGGCTTCCTGATGAGAGGTTGAGCCAGAGGACCTATAAAATCCATTATACCAAGATGCTATGCTTCTAGACTTTGCAAAGGAACTAGAGCTTTCAGTTTTCCCCTACTTGCCTGAAAATAATTCTCCTGTTTTCTATTTGCCTATTTTAGACAAATCCAAAGTGTCAGATAATAAATCAAGCTCAACAACACTGATGTTGATAGATATTTATATGCACATATTTTTTAATTAGCTGCTCTTAATCAATATGTTTAAATAAAGCAAGGATTTGGTTTGGAAAGAAAGAGTGTCTAAAGACAGAATCTGATAATAAATTCTAAGAATGTAAGAGAAGATTCTCTGTAATTCAGTTAATTTGTGGTACTCCAGAAGTGTTGGAAAATTAATTAGATGATGTATTATTACCCACTCTCTGACTTGCAGGTCAATACCTCATTAAAATGAATTGATGTAGTGATGAAACTAAAGCAATAATGATGCTTGAATGTTCCCCAGAAAGTAAACTCATTTTCATTTAATGTTATGTGTTCCCTATAAGGTGAAGATAGTTTAGGAATTGAAGAAATAGCATCAATAATTTTCTAACAACAAAATTTGATAATACCTCATTTATTTTCCTATTAACCTATTAGTGAGAACCTTTTGAAATCTTATCCTTAAACTATAACTATATGTAAAATTTCCTACTATTGTGGAGATTGTCTGACAGTTCCAAATGGTTCTTATATCTATAGAATTTAAGGAAATTAGAGCTATTTTTATGAGCACTAAATTTAATATTCTAATCATAGAATTTAGTGTTAGAAGATAACTTAAAGGTTACTTACTCCAAGCTCCCACTCGGTGTCCTACCTTCTCTCCATCTCCCACAAATAGTCATCCAGTCTGTGCACGGTTACAAATATAAGAACTTGTGTCCCTTAGGGCAGGTCATTTCCTTGTTGGATTATCTCTATTTGTCATTATGTCTTTCCTTATTTTGAACTTAAATATGTTATTGATCAGCCCTAGGTCTGTGTTCTAGAACACCACAAAGTAGTTTATTTCCTTATCTACCTGCAACATTGCAAATGTACTTATTCTCCTTTGCCTTTGCTTTGTAAGTCCTTCAGTCTTGTTACAGAAGGTCAGGCCAGAGTAAATAAGCTTCTGACATGCCTTTATCTATGCTCCTACAGAATCTCTGATACTACTTTTTTTATAAGCAGTTTTGTCCGATTGCCCATATTGAGTCAACTTAATCTTCAGAGTCTTTTAATGTACGTAACCATGAAGCTGGGTGTTGAGAGAGTAGAACCTACCTCTGTGAGGTGTAATGTTTGCTCACCATCTAGCATCAAGTCAATGTCATTATTACTGTTGGTATTATTATCACTATTTTTATTGTCATCCAACACTAATGTAATTTTCCCAGTTGAATCTAAATACCAGATTTCATTTTGACTCTCTTAAATTTACGTAACTAATTTTTGACCCATATTCGCAATATGCTGTCATCTTGTAGAATCATCTTTCTAACCTAATCTATTTAGCTGTTTTTAGCCATGTGCACATGAAGATATGAAACCTGAACAGGGCAAGTTTATATGACATAATCATACGGCAAACCGCTATAAATCTTGCTACTTTATAAATTAAGGTTGAGAAACTCTAATCTTACTTAATTACGCTATTAGGCCTGTTCATTAAGTCCCAGTCTTCCAAATTTTTCTGCTCTTCGGCCCATACTTTTCTATCAGACCTATAAGGACATCACAAGAGCTTTATCAAACACTACACTAAAGTTAGCATGTGCAGTGTCTCACATATCCCGACATGTATTTCTGCCTCTAGTTGGAATTAATTTCTCATCGTAACCTCTCTTGATACTCAACTACATTATGTTTCTTCAGAAGCCTCCACTTCAGTTTTTACATTTCTTACTAAGTTAACAGACATCCCTTCTCTCATTTCAGTTCTGGAAAACAATCATGCAAACAAAGCGAACTGAGCTTGACTTGGCCGCTGTTTACGTTAATAAAAAAACTGTTTCCTCTGATTTCAGTTTAAATACAAACAAGGTTATCGCAAGCAACTCGGCCACCATATTGGATACCGGAGTCTGCAAGATGATCCAAAGCTTGTGTTGTCCATGAATGTAGCCAAAATGCAGAGTGAAAGAGAATACAAGAAGGACTTTGAGAAGTGGAAAACCAGGTACACCAGCCCAGTGGACACGTTGGGAGTGGTGCTGGCCAAGAAATGTCAGGCCTTGGTCAGTGACGTGGACTATAAGAATTACCTGCACCAGTGGACATGCCTGCCCGACCAGAACGATGTTATTCACGCTAAAAAAGCTTATGAACTACAGAGTGAGGTCAGTTTCTATTAAATCTAATAGTTTATATGTGACATCATATCTCATATAAGTAACCATTTAGTTGTAAAGACAGAAACTAGAAAGAGGAATTATTATTGAATATCTCAAAAGCATCTGTTTGTAATACATAGAATCACTGGAGTCAAGGGTCCACATAAGGATGGGACTTTCAAGATTTGCTTTATATTTTCACAGAATATTTATAAGTCTGACCTTGAGTGGCTGAAAGGCATAGGATGGAGTCCCCTGGGTTCTTTGGAGGCAGAAAAGAACAAGAAAGCTTCAGAAATCATTAGTGAGAAGAAATATCGTCAGCCTGCAGACAAAAACAAGTTCACCAGCATTCCTGATGCCATGGACATAGTTCTGGCAAAGACGAATGCCAAAAATAGGAGTGATGTGAGTAGCTTTTCAGAAATAAATACATTAAATTATAGTGCCTGATACCTGGTAGGTGCTCAGTGGCATTTGCTTAGTAATAAGGTAGGTGAACCGCATAACATCACATCACAGAGCCTAATGTTTTATGTTTAGTTACTTTATTTGGATTATCAACTACCCTCCCCTGGATCACGTAAAAATAGATTAGTATTAACTTTTTTCACCCCAAATTTGCTTGCTTGCTTATTCATTTAACCAAAATATAATGAGAAAACTATTGAAACATACCTTTTTTTCTTTGAAACTTGAGTGCATTAAAGACTCAGATTTTTTGGCTAAGGTAGAGTGTATGAGAGGGAGATATTCTGAGTACATTATACAGACACAGTGGAAATATTATAAATAGTGTATTTTCTGCCAAGTGATTAGAATGCATTTCATTTAGCTGAATCAAGATGAATAAACAATATTACATACATAACCTATCTTCAACTTATTTCCTTCTCCAGCACTGACACCAGTATCTGGCATGTAAATAGATGCTCAATAAATATTTGGTGAATAAAGTAAATGAAAGATAGCCATGTAGAGCAGTTGTGTGCAGAGAAGGGAAAGATGATTTATTATTGCTCGGTTAGAAGCATAATCCTGAAAATTACAGAAAGTTGAATCATGTGCACTGAGATTCTGTAACTGGTAAGACAGTTTAAATAGATATATAATAATAACACTTGGGGTCTTACAAGGCTCTAAATATATACAGTATGATATATGTTTTACATATGTCATATATTAATTTTTGTATAACATGTCTCTCTCTCTCTCTCT